CTGTAACAGGCTTACTTGGTGACAAGATACACAGCCATGGCGCGTTCATTTCCAGAGCATAAATATCTGGCATCGGACCCTCGATATCCTACTTTCTCTCCTCCTCACTCTCATCATCATCATCTTTCTTCCTCCTTCTTCTCTTACTTCTTCCTCTAACCAATAAACCCTTTCCACAACCGCCAAAATGGTAAGCATTCCTCTCCGTATATATCTCTATATCCTCTTGAGCCTCAACTAACACGCCAAAACAGGTCAAGGTTCTTGCAGTTCTCTACGACGGTGGCCAGCACGCCAAGGATGTATGTCTTTAATCACTTTATTTGCTTCAACCCAGTTCCTCTTGATTCTCTATCAACTATCTTCAAAGGTCGTTGATTCTGCCTTCAACTCTCATATCTACCGACAACCACAAACAACTCCCCACACACCACCCCTCCGCGCTTGTCGATCTCAAACGCGGGGAAATGGTCTCACTACATGAGAATCAGCCACATCCAGCCCAATGATGCGGGGCAACGTCTGGGCAACATGCAAAGACATCGAGAAGTGACAGTTGGGTGGCATTGTTTGGCTCGTGCCACTCTTGTGGTATACACTGCATGGGTCTGAGCAACAATGCAACCCAACTTACACCCATTGTCTTGAACACTGCATCATCAACCCCTCAACCACTCTTCAAATCACTTCTCAGCAAATTGGTTTCATGGCAACTAACCCGTGTCATAGCAACCCCTCCTTCTCGGTACCACTGAGAACGAGCTCGGTATCCGCAAGTGGCTCGAGGACCAAGGTCACACTCTCGTCACCACATCTGACAAGGACGATGAGGGTTCTACCTTCGACAAGGAGCTCGAGGATGCTGAGATCATCATCACCACTCCCTTCCACCCTGGTTACCTGACCGCTGAGCGTCTTGCTCGCGCCAAGAAGCTCAAGCTCGCTGTCACCGCTGGTATCGGCTCTGACCACGTCGACCTCAACGCTGCCAACAAGACCAACGGCGGTATCACCGTTGCTGAGGTCACTGGCTCCAACGTCGTCTCCGTTGCTGAGCACGTTCTCATGACCATCCTCGTCCTTATCCGCAACTTCGTCCCTGCCCACGAGCAGATTGAGGCCGGTGACTGGAACGTTGCCCATGCTGCCAAGCAGGAGTTCGACCTTGAGGGCAAGGTTGTCGGTACTGTCGCTGTCGGCCGCATTGGTGAGCGTGTCCTCCGCCGCCTCAAGCCCTTCGACTGCAAGGAGCTCCTCTACTTCGATTACCAGCCCCTTTCTCCCGAGAAGGAGAAGGAGATTGGCTGCCGCCGCGTCGACACCCTCGAGGAGATGCTCGCTCAGTGTGATATCGTCACCATCAACTGCCCTCTCCACGAGAAGACCAAGGGTCTCTTCAACAAGGACCTCATCGCCAAGATGAAGAAGGGCTCTTACCTCGTCAACACTGCCCGTGGTGCCATCGTCGTCAAGGAGGACGTTGCTGCCGCTCTCAAGTCTGGTCACCTCGCCGGTTACGGTGGTGATGTCTGGGACCACCAGCCCGCTCCCAAGGAGCACCCTCTGCGAACCGCCAAGAACAACTGGGGTGGCGGTAACGCCATGGTTCCTCACATGTCCGGTACTTCTCTGGACGCTCAGATCCGATATGCCAACGGTACCAAGGCCATCATCGACTCTTACCTCTCTGGCCGCCACGACTACAAGCCTGAGGATCTTATCGTCCACCAGGGTGACTATGCCACCAAGGCCTATGGTCAGCGTGAGAAGAAATAAATGTATTGAGAGAATGGAAGAAATGATTTGTACATGATGATGAATAGTTTTACAACAACTGCATTATAGACGCGGGTCAAAAGTAATCAGCGTTGCAGATAATACAATTTGTTAAAGTTCTACCTCCCTTTGTCTTGTCTTCAGTGATCTCAATAAGATGCCATGAAATGCCTCCCTTGATCTATTGAGCTAGCGATTATTTTTACTTGGTGATCTCCTTTAAATAACTTTAATATTTAGAGCAAAGGCTAAATCTATCCTGAACCTTGCAATGTACAATAAATACTAATACTGGCATAGAAGAAAAAGGACGGTAATGGATATAACACCTATAAATGAACTACCTTTTTCAAAAGAAACCTCGTGTCCTATCTTTTGATTATCCTTCTTGGTTCCTATAATCAGCCCAATAATGCAGCAGGCATCGGGCTATCTGTGCACGTCAACAGCTATTTTACACCTTCACTCAAATGACTACCGCCAAGGTGAAGCCAAGCAGAAATGCTCTGCTTTTCCGTGTCTTTTTCCTTTGCTATTAATACAAAAAATATCTCGCTATTTTGGTATGCTTCGTTATAGGCCATCATCAAGCGCTATATATATGGCTGACCATAATTTTACTTCATGACATGAATTCGTTGCCAACTCTCCCAATCCATGCTAGATTTTCCAATCATTTCCAGAATTGCCACCACTTCTTTTCCTCGCTGGGCTGTCCTCTCCGTCTCAAGATCTGCTCGTCTCGCCCTCTAATACGCCAGAAATAAACAGGCACACCAGCTACCACGAAGAACACGACAGCGATAGTCTGGAAAGGCTGTGCGAAGACAGCACGGCTGAGGAGGAAGAGACTGACGCAGCAAAAAATAATGGGCGTCGTGATCCAGGTCTTGTACGGTCGTACGAGTCCCGGCTCTCGCACGCGCAGGATGATCAGACCCAGAACTGTGAGGAAATAAAATGTGTAGCCTGCAACGCCATAGAAGGTGACGAGAGTGCTGAACTCGCCAACGACCACGTAACCAACTGTAAGAACAGCGTTGAGAATGAGTGCATAGACTGGCGTATAAAACAGTCCAGCATCTTCATCGCCAAACATTCTTCGCATCTTGCGGGTGAACCAACTTCGTGTACGCTGTGTGCTAAGCTCGTGCTCGTGTGGGCTGCCCCCAATACCAATAGTGCCAAAGATCGAAGGAATGTAGCCCTCCTTGCCAGCCACATATGCCAAACGGCTGGAGGTGAAAGTTGAAGAGTTGAGGGCACCGAAACAACTCGCGCTAACGATGAGTGCGAGAATGAGTGAGCCTACAGAACCAAACACCCGGTTTCCAAACATGACAGCTACTGTATTGGATCCATCCATGCTCTCGAGAGGTAGGACGAGGAAGTAGGCGATATTAGCTAGCACATAGCAGAGGATGACCAGAGGCATGGCTGTGTGGATGACTCGGGGCAGGTCTTTAGTTGGGTTCTTAAACTCCCCAACGACGTAGTTTGTCTGGACTATGTCAGTTATCGAGACTTGCAAACTTGACTGCTACAACTCACATTGTCCCAGCCATCATATGCCCAAAGACCAGCATAAAGGGCGAGAGCCCAAGCAGACATGTCGGTCGATGTGTTTTCAAACAGCTGATGCGGCTTCCACTCAACTTCCGACTTGCCCTTGAGGGTCTTTCCTGTGATGGCAACGACAACACCAGTAACTGTGACGCCCAGCAAAGCGATAAATTTCATAAACATGAGCGTATCGTTCACACGCGTGCCGAGCTTTGTAGAAACACAATTCAAGAACGTTACAATGAACAGTCCTACAAGCGCAACAGCCTTGTTGATCCAAGGGCTTACATGCTCAGCGTCAGGGCCGATGAAGGCTCGAACAAAGTATTCACCCATGATGATGGCGATGATAGCGGCACTGCCGGGCTTAAGGACCAGCATGGCAACCCATGTAAAGAGGAAGCCTATCACCTCGCCAAATGTCTTGGCCAAGTAAACTTGAGCGCCGCCATTGAGAGGAATTGCCCCGCCGAGCTCAGCGTAAGACGCAGCGCCTGTCCAAGCGAGTATACCCGCGATAATCCAGACAAGTATCGCTGCACCAGGCGACCCAACTCTTGTGCTCACAGATCCTGGCGACGAGAATATTCCTGAGCCGATAATAAGTCCCACTATCAGCGACAATCCGTTCAAGTATGTCAAAGTCTTGTTTTTCTCCAATGATCCTCCTCCTAAGCCGCCGCTCGGCCTTAATCTTGATGTTGGTGCTCCAATGGGAGCGTAACCTTCGGCACCAGCCGTAGAGCTTAGAGGAAACATATTGGCGGAGAAGTCAAAGGCTGAGGATACTGAGTATGATCGATTCATCCTGTTTGCAGGATTGGCACTGTCGAGGGGGTCATCTTGTTCGAGCGACAGTCTCCTCGACGACGATATGCTGGGCCTTGACGAGATCTCTGTAGCTCCCTCTTCGTTGAGCTGACTTGAACTAGCCAAGGAAGCGAGTTCCAGCGAATCTCTTGTATTCGACGGGAGTCCGTAAGGCGGCGCCATTGTGGTTTCTGTGTGGTTGTCCTTTCCCCCTCTTCCCAGCGACTAGTTAATCGACCAATCCGCCAAAATGGAGGAACCGCGAGTATTCAATTCGAGTATTTCAGCTGTTAAAGACCAATGCGCATCGCGGTTCGTTGTCGCGCAGACTTGGAGTGAATGTGTTGGGCGATCGGCAGCCGAAGGATGTGAGGAAGCAAGATCTGTGACGTAGAGATCTCAGTGGTCGGTAGTTGTTTTGAAGTGTTTTTGGAGCAGTCGAGGTTAAAAAGACGGGGAATAAAAGCACAATTAAGAAAGTATTCGTATTCGTCAATAATTAATTGATTGATTGCTCATGAACTCTCCTTTTCATTCAATACCAAAAAGGGGCAATGTTTGCTTCGTTATAGTGGAACAGGACAAAGAAAGAAGGCCAAGTTGAAAAAGATAGGAGTCGGCTTTACCCAACTCATCACAAGGAAGCTTCTTTGTCAATGCAAGTGCTGCTTCGCTTTTCCCTTCCGCGTATAGATCAGAAACACATTACCACTCTAGCCCAGCCCCTTGCTCTCTTCGGTGGATCTCAGCCACTTGCACCGCCATATATTGATTAGTCACTTCTTCTACCACTGATGTCGAGTCCATGACCATCGCCTCACCAACAACCCTTCCGAAAGCACCATAACACCATGGGCTCCGACGATTATGCTGCTGTCGGTGGCGGCGGTGCCCTGAAACTCAAGGGCGCCAAAATACACAAGAAAAAGAAGAAGCGCGATAAGACCGATCTTCAGAAGAACCTCGATACCGGAAACAATGACGAAGAGAAGAGAAAGAAGAAGAGCGAGGATGGAGAGGAGCAAGAGCCCCATGATGATGAGGGCAAACCCGAAGTTCAAAAGACGGAGGCTCAAAAGCGCCACGAAGAGATAAAAAAGAAGAGGGCAAGTCTTTCATTACCTTCTATTGTTAAAATCATGCTAACCAGTCTATAGCTGCTCAAACTCGCCGAGTCTTCAAGCTCGCGGCCAGAACTTCTCAAAACACATAAGGAGCGTGTCGAAGAACTCAATACTTACCTGTCGAGATTGAGCGAGCATCACGATATGCCCAGGATTGGCCCTGGTTAAGGACGTCAGGACAGAAGGCTGAGTTGGTGGCGAATGTGTGTAGGCGGATGGGCAGGAGTTGTTGGCGCTTTTGGTTATACCCTCGAATTAAACAAATATTCCCACAAATGACATGTGTTGCGTTGATCTACGGCATTATCAGAATCGGTCACGCCTGGGGGTGCGTAATGTTCACCCTGAGGTGCGTAATGTTCACCCTTTGCTGGGCTGAAAGCACCAAGCCCATGTTTCTGAGAGTAAAGGTCAAGACCACCATGCACAAGGTGACTGCATCGATTTGCTTGAAAAGGGGAAAATGAAATCGAATATGCAAACTCAAGTGCTTGTATTCGCTCATGTACTATGCATTTTTAAATACAACCCATGTTCGGCATATATGCTAGACGCCATTAATGAACCAAATCTCCCCCCAAGATACAACCGTATGTGGAAGTTCTTGTCTATTGATTAATCCCGTCTGATGCTGACCCCAAGTCTATTATCCTGATTTTAAACCCATGAAGAAAGGACCGTGATATTCATAAAGATGAACCCATTCTGAAGTAACTGGTGCCCGCAATGGGACCACAAGTTCGTTCGCCACGGGATCCGCGTGACATTTTCGCTGGATGTAAGGCAAGGTCGAGGTGTAAATAATCCATTTACAGGAGAATGAACCCTCCGAAGACCATACCCACAACTGCGCCAAGAACTGAACTGACGGATCGAGGAGCGGCGTTCTGAAGATCAGGGCTGCCAGCGGTGGCTTCGGCCGAGGGGACAACCTCAACCCAAGAAGTCGAAGTCAGGGTTGTAATGCCACCATCCTCAAGCGTAGAAGTGAAGGTCTTGGGCACAGCACTCGAAGTTCGTCTGGTACCTGTTCCAGTCACAGTGCTTCGTTCAGACTTAGTCTCAGTCGCGCTTTCGGCATCGTCTGAGGTTCGTGAAGCCTCGTCTGTCTGAGTCGCGGTTTCCTGGTCTGTCTTAACGTTAGCATATACGTTCCGATGGTAACCGTTTGCAAAAGTGTGTAGTCAACGCGGAGGCAATCAAAGGTCAAAAGGCATTTTCAAGTTTTGGCGCACTTGCGAAAGTCACGAAGTCAAAGCATCAGGTTGTGGAGATGGCACGAAACAGTAATATCACAACAGGTTTGGGGAGTTGGATTCGCAGCAATGTCCCTGGAAAGAGCCCTGTTGCTGCTCGTCCGTCCCACATACCGGTAGTCGTCTCTGTCTCCTCTAAAGCCTGGGAGGCTGTTTCAGACTCTTGAGTTGGCCCGGAAGCTGACTCAGAAGTTGAATCGAGGACAGTGGTGGCTTCGGCGACAGTGGACGAGGGAACGGTGGCAGTTTCGATAACAGTGGAAGTATCATCAAGGGCGGTGGATTGAAGGGTCTCACCCGAAGAAGCCGTCTCGGACGGTAATTCAGAAAAAGAGGAGGTATCAGGCAAAGAATTTCTTCGAGTAGACGTACTGGCAGCAGTGGAGGTTGCAGCACTAGGAGCAGAAGGATTGGAAGTTGAAGCACGAGAAGAGGGAACAGTCTCAGAAGGTTCCTCTTCCGAAACGGACGTACCAGTGGCAGTGGCCTCGGAATCATCGGTGGTCGATTCAGGGGAAGAGTCCTCAGTGGACGAGGGTCGGTTCTCCGTGGTCCTGCGGGTGGTTCGCTGTGTAGAAGCGGCTGTGGATGCAGCCTGAGTAGGCTCCTCTTGAGATTCCGTGGCAGAAGGAGATGCTTCCGTAGCTGAGTCCTCGGTAGGTTGGGCAGTGGCAGAGGGTCGGCCTGTATCCGGGTTAGAGGTGGGTTCCTCAGGTTCTGAGCTCGCAGGGCGCGAGGGTGAGGATGGCTCACTGGTGGCAGATGGCTGAGTAACTGACGGTTGAGCCTGGGTGTTTGAGGCCTCATCCGTGGCGCTGGCCTGGTCGGTTGGCTCTCCGGCGGTAGCGGAAGGCTGAACAGCAGTCTCGCTAGCCTCGTTCGTGGGCTCATCAGCCGTAGCAGTGGGTTGCTGTACGGTGTTTGAAGCACCACCAGAGGCTCCGCCTGAAGAGCCGCCCGAGGGAGCATTGGAAGCGCCATCAGAAGCGGCATTTGTAGGATCAGTGCCCTGCTCTGTATCGGTAGGTGCTGGTGTGTTTTGTCGTCGAACCATCTGGGCCATGGAATCGGAAAGATTTGGTCGATGAGCGTTCATGTCATGCTTTCCAACATCACCATGGCGGAGATGTCCAGGGCAGAGTCGGGTAGCGCCTCCAATGGATGCTACACCAACGCCCAGAAGACAGCAAGCGGCCAAAGCAATCAAGGCCTTGCCAGCTGGGGATATCCTTCTGGTCTTTGTCCGTGGGATGGTCTGGGCAGATTCCGAATCCTGGAGGAGTGCTTCCTTTGACGACATGGTCCTCTCTTCTCGGTCAGTGCTCAACAATCCTGCCTCCATGCTGTAGTCGTTCTTGATGTCGACAGATGCCATGATGTAGAAGTGAGTGAGGAGGTTTGAAGGAAGGGAGAAGGTTGAGTTTTGTGAGTTGAGCAGGGTGATATCAGGACTGAAGAAGACTGGAGACGGATATGCAGAGGACGTTTAGCGGCTGAGAATAGACCAGAATTGCGGACCCAAGACAGATGGCAGCTTTTTTTGGGTTTGCTATTTGGGGACGGTACGAGAGACGACTGGCTGGGAGCAGGTGGTGAAGTTGAGGAGGCGAGATCCCAGACGGTGAGTGGTGAAGACAGTGCAGCAAGCAAGCTAGGGTTCAAGAACGTGCAGACGACAGCCGGCCAGAGGGGTGATTCCCTTTATCGATGATGAAGAGTGTCGTGTGCCAAGCAGACAAGGAGGTGGCTCTAGCGTACGAGAGAGGAGTCTGCTCGGTTCTATGAATGGAGACACAGCTGGTGATGTGAGGATGAGAGAAGCAAAAGGGACCAAGAAAGCGAATGGTGTGCCGCCTGCCGGTACTGTACTGTAAGCAATTGACAGTCGACCGAGGCGTTGGGGAGTGTGGGCGAGGGAGTGGAGGAAGTGGAGGAAGTGGAGGCAGTGGAGTGAGTGATGGTTGTTACACGAGCTGAGTCCGTCACGTCAAGCCAACTGCGAGACTGAACTCAAGTTCAGGGCGAGCAAGAGGAGAGTTTGGTGTTAAATGCAGCCTGCGGTGGTGAATCGTGGGTAGATGAGGGGATCTGCTCTGTCCTGCTAAAAGCCCCGAGGCCTAGACTAGTCTTGGCAAGAGGAGGCTGAGCTGCAGACAACTATCACAATGGCCCAAGTAAGCTGTTTTCTTATTTGCTGCTGTGACTTTTGTTTTTTGTCTGCTGAGTGGCAAAGGCCAGAGGCTGTTGGAGATCTAGACAAAATCGCTATGCGTGTTTCTTTTTTAGGCTTGGGGGGGAGCCGCTTGCAGTTCTTAACGATAGCCACCCGGGCACTAGACAAAAAGCTAGGCCTCGTCTAGCGCTTCTGTCGTCCCGCCAAGTTCAGCCGGCGGCCGGCTACACCTCCGCCAACTGGAAACCCAGTCGCAGAGGCCAGAGGTTGAGCACTGAGCAGCCCGGGGAGCCTGGGAGGGATGGGCTTTGGTGGAGTTTGGGTGCCCAAGGGCGGCTCAACAAGGCCATATCTGCCTGTGTACGTACATAGCCCTCTGTCCTCCATTTCTTGTCAGTAAACACTGTGGAGGGTAATCCAAGACATGAGGTGTGCTGACTGCTTGACCTGAAGTTGACCAGAGATGAGCTGAAGCACTGACTGTCTGATAGCAAGGGCACAACTGCTCATTCTTGGAACATCCAATCGCTATAGAAACTTAATAAAGGTTTCAGCCATTGTTTAGTAATTATTGGCCGGTACAAACTGGGCCATCAACAGAAGTCGGTTGTCACAATTCCGATATACCACCTTTGGTATGGTTGGGTCTTGGATCCCCCGTTCTTACTGCACAGGCGTTGGTTCGACTTGAGTGATCACCATGTAAACGGTTGCACGAGTATTTTTGTCTATAGGGGCACCGTTACCACATCCGTTGACCCCCTGGTACCTGTCCTTCCGTTGCTCAGACGGCGGCGCCTCATCAACCCATACATACGCCGCTAAGATACGGAGCTTCATGAGCTTTGTGATGTCACTGTGAATGTAACGGCAGACGGACGGGCTTGTATAAGAGGAGCATTGTGTGATTGTCTCCGTATGAGCCCATCGTCCTGCCCTTCGTATTCTTTAAAAAGCCCCTGAGACCCATGGGAAGTATGTCAATTGACAGATTGGAGAGGAAGGGCAAGAAGGGGTGAGAAACCGCCTCGTTCCCAGGTGAATACGAGGAATCGCCATAAAAAGCTGAGCATCGAGGCGGGTCAACATTCGGGCCCAAGCCATTGGTCCCAAGATGATGCTTTTTTTTGCCCGCATGGCCCCGATCCTCATTCCATGTTTGACCCACCTGGTTAGTCCCCTGAACCCTGTCCCTGACCTTGGTGAGGTAGTCTTTCCATCTTCATCTTCTCTTATCCAACCCTTTCAGAGCGTTGATCGTGTCTTGTAACTTGGGGCCGTGATTATGAACACAATCAATTGACCTGGTCTGGCGTATGTATGATCGCCCATGTGCAGCAAAGATGCATATCGATCATCAACCAACTTGTCTGCGTGAAACTCGTTGCTGGTGTTTGGCCTTGAACCTTTGTTCTATGATACGCCAAGTTGAGACTGGTAATGGTTGCTCTTAATTGTCGTGATAAGCGACCAGGTGTGATATCTTTCAACTCTGAACTTGAACTTGATTATTCGTGCCAACTTCTTTGTTCGTATGACGGATCGACAAATTCACCAGCTGCGATGACGGAAATGCGCAATATCAAACTGTAATACGATGGGGAATTTCGGTTGATCCTTATTTTTGGTGCTTTTTTGTCATGAGATGGAGTACGGAAACGTGCACAGTCCTTGGCTCCGGCGGCGTGTCCGTCCAAACGAAGCAAATTTTGGTGCCAAGAAGAGATGATGTATGCAACCGGATCTGGCGGCTCAACAATTCTGTGTCAGAATTGAATTGCTACTGACCGTTGATGATCAGTTGCTGCGAGATGATGCTCAGTCAATATCGTGTCATTCATTCATAAAGCTCCACGCGGCCTATCTCGTTATCCGTAAAGTCGATTCCGCCAACGTGGACCAGCGCATCTGGAAAAAAAGGGAATGGCTGGCACAGATGAAATTCCATTGGGTCATATGCAGCCATGTTTGCGCTGTAACCTCAGCTGTAACGATTGACCAAATCGCAGTTCGAGTCACTACACCCAAATTCGGAGCATGAAACTCCAGCCTTTTGTGGGAAAAGCAGAGATACATACTAATTGTGTTTTGATGTCTCCTCTGTGAATGACGGTCAGCCAGCTGCCAGCACGCACACTTACGAGATGTGTCTTGGTTGTGAGACACGCCAATGCAGCCATAGAGGCTTAGTATCAGTCGGTAGACCAACCAGAAACCACAATCAGAGACAAATTGCTGTCAAAAAAGCGCAACTGTCTCGAGACAAGAAGTAGCAAGTTGATTTTTGGGTCTTAGATCCAACTCTTAGCTCTTGGTTGATTTTGAGCTAACTTATGGCTTGCGGTATAAAGATGAATGATTGTATGGTCTGGCGATAGTTGGCAATAGCCAAATGGCTTATTGTTGTTGAACCGGCAGATATAGCTTGTAGACCATTGATCCGATACAACCAACAAGGTCCAGTTGACGTATGTATCATCCTTGCATATGCTGGATACCTTAAGACTGAAGAGCGATTCCTGCACAGCCTACGAGCGTGTGCTGAAGGTCCAGGATGGGCGTGGGGAGACAGCTGAGAGTCCCACTGGCTGAAGGTTGAATGTATGTCTAAATTTAGACCACTCGGAAGCCCCAGTGGTTCGATCTGATTGATAGTGGTGCTGTTGAGTTGTTTGTGTCGTCATGACTGTTTTCTCGTTAGACATGTCCATCTGTAAATGAGACAATTCTGTATGTTTCTCTTCCCAGTAAAGAAGCTTGTGCATGTGATCTTGTTTCATTACGTCTTTCTCCTGCTCTCCAAGGGATAGAAAAAATATTTGAGTTTGTTCTCCAAGACAAGGGAGGGAGTCAAGTAGATATTTAGCGACTGAACTGGAATGTTACAATACTAACATTCAGATGCTATAGAAATTGATAAGAAACATCAAGGGAAATAAAAGATCAAACCGACTGGTTGGACCTATGGAGTCCTTTAATTGTCAGTGAATATTTGCCTCATAGCTATAGGGTATTTCTGCCAACTTGATGAATTCGATAGTGAATTTGTTGAAGACGGATGAGGTTACTTGCATATGATAAGGTATCGAGCCCCTCCAATGGAAGTAAGGAAACTCGAAATATTTAATGCCAAGTGATAAAAAGACTTGAGTAAATCTAGTATAGGCTTAGGGGGTTTTGCCTAATTACTTTTAGCACTTGAAGCCAAGGTCCGAAGTTTTCCTGTTCCCTAAAGCCACTATCGATAGACGTGGCTCATGAGTGGCCGTGCCTTATTTATGCATGTTGCTGACTGATTGAAGTTAGCTGACGAAACACCCGATGGACAAGTCCACTGTCACATGTGGACGAGGACAGATGCTCGAGCTTCCTCCAACAAAACCGACGACGTGGAGATAACTCTACTAACAGGAATAGCCTCTGATTCAAACCACTCTCACTCTCTTTATTGATCAATTTGGCCCATTTGTTTGCGACAATATCCTTGAAACGTGTTTGAGGCGCATACGCAGCCCCGTTGTCTTCCCATGATCGATATCGAGATACCTTGAATACCCTCGTCATGACAGAGCATCTCAGCCCCGACTCTCTAAATACTCTCGACCCCGACGAACAAGACAGCCTCCGAGTTCGATCGCGATCGCCTCACCCGTACCATCACCAGAACGCAGACCTTCCTCATCTCTCGGATCGTTTTACGCTGAGGAACCGCCAAGCGCAATCCGCCAAGACCAGTGACGATGATCCCCACGAACCCTCGCCTACGACATGGCCAAGTTTTCTCAAGGACTCGCCGCAGACGAGCGACAGTGGCTCCGAAGCTGACGACGAGCATTATCTAAAAGGTTTACCGGCGCCAAAAGCCAACCTGCACAAAGGATTGAGAGGTCTCAATGAACCGCTGTCTGGCTCTTCAACACCTCTTCCATCACCAGCGCTTCTTGATGGTCATGTCATCCGCACCGTAGACAAGCCGCCCATGCCTACCGAGACACCGGAAACGAAACGTCTGCTCGAAGCCCTCAAAAAACGAAGAAGAGTCGTTGTTCGACGCATAACTGAGGCTGGCATTGTTTTAGCGCTGGGTCTCATGGTGGCTTCAAATTCCCAGGTATTGCAGCTCATAAAGATCTGGGGAAAAGGTATGCGCATTTCCTCCCTTTTGACAGCCTTGCCTTAACCATCATAGATATTCTACTCTGTGGCCTTGTATATGCGGGACTACTCGCTCTGTATCCTGTCCGGGTCGTCGCTTGGGCATACCGTAACAGGACACCATCTCACCCAATACCTCTCGAGCTTCCTGCGCACTTCGACCCCGCTCCCATATTATACCCTTCGGCGATTACTCTATATGTCTCGCTTCTTATTTCGTCAAGCAACCCAGCAGCGATTCTACCTAACCTTATTTTGAGCCTTGCTTCAATTCCGCAGAGCGTTATTCCCAAGGTTGATCCATATGCTACATATGATGTACTAGCATGGGGCCTAACTTGCATTCCATTAATCTGGAGCCCAAAGCAGCGTGAACACTTCGAAAGCAAGCATCCAGAATCTTTTATTTCAGGAGAAACAGCTATTCTGCTGTATCCTCTTCACCAAACTTTGTGTGTGACATTGCACTATCTCACTACAACTAGTCTCTTGACGGCTGAGCTCCAGCTTCTGTCAGTCGCCCTTATCAACGTTTTGCTTCTAGCTTCTTCACCCCAGGTTTTGATTCTCAAAGCCCTGTTGTGGGGTGGCGGACTTTCTCTCCTCTTCTTTTGTGGACGTGTCATAAGCTGGGGAATTGCTTTGGCCAGAGTGCCGAAATGGAGATTTCGGAGAGTGTCAGTCTCTCAACGGCCGCCACTCTGGAAGAACTTCAAACAAATTTTCTCGCTACGACGGCTGAGGCACGAATTATTAAGACCAGAGTATGAGGATGCTGTATACGATACCATTGGCTCATCCGAGGATGAGGCAGGCCCATTGTTCAAGAAGCCTACTCGAGTTCGAACCTTTGGACCAAGCTCCCCGAACCCAGCAGAACCCGATAGTGCTCCCTCTTCGCCCACGGCTGCAGATGCTTTCGGAAACTGGTCTTTTGCACGGAGACATACCTTACCACACCTTGATCATGGGAATCGACGTAACGCGACGCATACTCCTTCGGGACGCAAAAAGCGAGCAACTTCCATGTCCGTTCGGCCCTTCTTCAAGCTTACTCAAGAGCAAGCGACTATGAGAAAATGGCTTTATGCTGGATACGTCTACTTGAGTATCATAGTTATTATCCTTGGTGGCATTCGAACTTATGTACAATGTTATGCCCTAGATGGTAATGAGCCCATTGGGTGGGCTTTGGGATATCTCTTCGGCGACTGGTCTTGGTTCCGATATCAAGTTGTCAGTCTGAACTTGGAAAGATGGATTTGCCTACCCCCGCGAATTGATCCTACAGAAGACAAACAATGCCACTCTGGCTGGGTACAGCACGTTCGCCATAACGACCTTGGAGAAGCAAACACTCGACTTTTGTTGAGTGCTTACTGGATGGGCATCTTGATTCTGGGGCTCATTATCGTCTTTCGTCTGAAGGACATCTATGAGGTAGATACACGGCGGAAGGTGTTCCACTTTATGATGGTTGGCATGTTTTTGCCCGCAACCTTTATCGATCCCACGTATGCAGCTCTTGCCCTGTCTCTAATTCTTGCGGTCTTCTTGATCCTGGATCTTCTGCGGGCAAGTCAGCTACCTCCACTATCAAAACCTATTGCCTCATTCCTAGCACCATACGTCGACGGCAGAGACTTCCGTGGTCCAGTTGTCATCTCGCACATCTTTCTTCTAATTGGGTGCGCCATTCCTCTCTGGCTGGGCCTTGCTTCTCTACCACGCTCTGGATCTGGCTACCTGTCTGGTTGGGAAGTCACAACTCGAGATGTCAGTCTTGTCTCTGGAGTTATCTGTGTGGGTTTAGGAGACGCAGCTGCTTCTCTCATCGGCCGTCGATATGGACGTCGGAAGTGGCTCTGGGGAGGCGGTAAGAGCCTTGAGGGCAGCGTCGCCTTTGCTGTGGCTGTCATGCTGGGACTTGGTGCCGCCAGTATGTGGCTGAGAATCGGTGGTTGGCCTGCTGCAGGTGAGCAGCCTGGAGTGATTGCTGGCACACGAAATGCTGCGATGTGCGCATCCATGGCGAGCTTGACAGAGGCTGTTCTTACTGGCGGGAACGACAACGTTATCGTACCAGTGGTGTTGTGGACATGTGTGAAAAGCCTCGGTGTTTGATATAAAAGTACATCAAAGGTGGCGTTCCGGTGGTTTCTTCAGGACTGATGCTTGACATAGAGAGCAAAACATAGCAGACGGCTGCATAGACGACGTAATGTTCATGACAGACTTCAAGATGGTCTCAATTTAGGGTAATTGTTTCCCTATGTGTTTTACTTATACCCCCTTTCCAATTACAATAATGTAACTCAACTCTCTCATGAGATCTTATGCTCTCCCAACACCAGCGCCCATGCACCTTGGCTATGCTTCCGATTCTATATGTTAAACTAGTTTTACATTATGACATGAGATCCTCTAGGATTGCCTCGAGCTCGTCTTTTCTAAATGGCAAGCTCAGCAGCTCTGTTCCCAGAGCATCCTTCATACTCGTGATTATTTGATGGTCGTGGAATCTAGTCTTCGTTAGTGGTGATTGTGTAACGGAATATGACAATGAACGTACTCTTTCAGCAGGGTTCGGAAAGCCATCTCGGAACTGCAGATGAACTCTTCCACGGCCTTGTTGTACACCATTCGATACTCAACACCAATTGGCTCATCGCCACTGTCGCTCTCCTCCTCAATCGCAATGAGAACCTCGCCCACCAAGAGGCGGAACAGATTCTTGGCATTTTCGGGCAAACTTCGTAAAACGAATGCAACGCCTTCTCTACCATTGACTCGGTGAGCATTCCTCCCGAGAAGCTCGTGTACCTCATCCACAACATCCAGCTCGGCACCATATGGGGCAAAGGTCGTACAGTCGTGGAACACCATGTTAAACGCAGATCGCACACCTATATCCCACAGTAGTGCAAAGTCTGGTGTATCAGCTGAACACACCATCTTTATTTGAGGATGCGCCGCGAGTTGCGCTAGAGCAGACTGCGAGCCAGATTTACGAAGAGGCGCCGCATCGATTGAGTTAACAATGAGAGTCAGCGTTGACGACGTTGTGGCTAGGTGTGAGAGAATGGCAGGGACCATGACGGCAGGTTGCGTTAGAGGAATGCGGTGACTTGGATCAACAGCCGCGCCAATTGTGCTCAATACCTCGCGCATAGTGGTATTGTGGGCGTAGCCATTGATTACAACAATCTTGTCCCCCTTCTCCTTCCTAATGGAAGAGTACAAGTGACCAGCAAGCTTGTGTAGGAGACGTCGCTTCGAGCCATAACCATATAGACACAAACTGAACCCTTGCGATAACTCGAACGCCCATTGCGGGAATGATTCGGCATGCAGACTCTCTAAAAATTCGATATCAGCCTCATGGTGATCCTGAGTTTCTCGCATAATGGTAAAGTATTCATCGTGTGTAAGTAGAGCGAGTGATCCCAGAGTATTATTCGAAGTCTTGGCCCGCCCAGGTTTGTTGTGCGCAAAGTATAATTCGTGAGGAGGCAAGTCGCGAGGAGGAGTTGGAGATCGAGCTGGTGCTTTCCGATGAGCTTTCCGGCGAGGTGTCGATTTCGAAGGTGTCGCAGCTTCATCTACACCTGAAGCTTCGGTGGAAATGGCAACGTCGCCCTCGAGCGCTTCTTCGTCTTCACTAGATTCGTAGATTTGCTGCGCAAGGCCGTCGTATTCCTCCTCATCCGTAAGGTCGTCGCCAACAACATGTTCTATGAGCGCTCTCGTACTCTTTCGCTTGGCAGATCTGTCTGCTCCTCCAGGTGTTGCTCCATTCAAAGCCACGGGCGTTTTCTTGTTTGGCGTTTCAAAAAGAGCAGTACGGTTCGCTTTCGGTGTAGGAGTTTCGCCATTCACAGCCTTCTTTGGTGGTCTCCCTCGTCGTTTTGGTGCAGGTTTAGGGGTTTCATCTGGGTCGACTCTTGATAATGATTCGGATGAGCTTGCATCACTGTCTCCTATCACATCTCGGTGTATAGCTTCTGTATGTCCATTCGCTCCAGTGGCTACTTTGGGTGAACGATGAGCTGCACTTCGTTGTCGCTTTACTGGCGATGTTTCAAGGTCGCTTTCGGGAATGGATTCGAGATCTTGGTACCCGCGTTTTCGTAAGGATCTTGCAGGATCTTGTTGAGTATCAGGCTCAGGTATTGCCTTTCTTGGAGGCATTATGTGATCGCTGAGGCTGACGGAATCACTTGAGTTTCCCGAGAGCCAACTTTTTATAGTTATTAAGTAGTTTCTGGAATGGGTAAAATAAATACAGAGCCCAGACGCGTGGTAACTACTGGTAACGCGCCTGCTAAATTGGTTGTGGCGCCTGTGGCGCCAATGCATGTGGCGCGAGCTTCACTTCCAACGACAGTTCATTATTCCTTCACATGCTCCCTCCTATAGTACGCATTTTATGGACAACGGAACGATGTTGAATCTAAATCTATCGGCCTCACTAAATATCACAAGGCTTATCTTCAAGCCGAGTCTGTGTCTGCCTCATCACACAGTCTCAACTTTCAATGACTTGCCGATTCCTCTTGAGAAAGGCTTGCAAAAAGATGGTCGAAAAGTAGAGATCAAGGCTGTTGTTCTCGACAAAGACGATTGCTTTGCTTATCCTGATAATGTTGAAGTGTATGATTCCTACAAGGTGCCTATAATTTGTACCCACTCAAGACTGTCTGCTAAACTGAAGCATAGTCTCACTTTGAAAAGCTAAGGTTGGCTTATCCTGGTCGCAAATTGCTTGTGGTGTCAAATACTGCTGGAGCAACGTCATGGGATAAGAATTTGAAGCTAGCTTCTGAGGTCGAAAAGAACACAGGAATCACTGTGCTCTCGCACTCGGTCAAAAAACCAGGTTGTGGCCAGGAGATCATGGAATATTTCAGAAAGCACCCAGAAACAGGAGTGACAGATCCTGCACACATTGCGTTCGTCGGTGATAGACTGACGACCGACATGATGCTTGCAAATATGACAGGAGGGTGGGGTTTTTGGGTGAGAGACGGTGTAATACCTTTAGAAAAGAAGAGCATCGTGAGTCGCTGTCTGCCCCTCAACAGACGATAAATCGTCGTTAGGCAACAACTGGCAACAACTGGCAACAACTGACAACACTAGTTCTCGAGATTGGAACGACCTTTAGCTGCTTTCTTCTTTGCTAGGGGTATTCATGCTCCGGAACCCCGTAGCATCTTTGAGGAGTAGCTATGTCGGAAGCTGTCGAAGGTAAAAGTCAGAACCAAACGGCTCGTCTGAACTTCTACGTTTACATTGAATCACAATGCCACTTGCACCATTGTCCTTCATTCAGTATGGGCACCTGACCATTGATAAGCATTCACATGGCTTAAACAGACGATGCAAACGGGACTGAATCACTCATCTACTGTCCTGAGAGTCTATAAAGCTGCGTTCGTGATCTTCATTCTTTACTACTCTTATCCTCTTTCCACACTCCAATTCTATATAGGCATCGTCGCTTGCCTTTACTCTGCCTTTTGTTCTTCGTTAGCGTCACCTTTTTATATACTTGCTTCTTCACTCCTCTCTCTTTGGTCCACCCTCACATTGGGCCTCAACCATGGGTGGAAAGACTTGGTCTATAGACGAAGAACGAATGCTCTGGGAAGTCGTTGTTCCTCGCTCAGTAGCTGCTGCTAACCCAGTTGATCGACGTATGAGCTGGGGGCAATGCGCGCAATATATGAACGACAATTCTGGTGACATCGCTCAACGCAACTATACTAAGAACATGTTATGTGAGTTACCCACGCGCTTGCAATACCTTCCAAAGTCTCTACTGACTCTGATAGACGAGCATCACTACCAGAACATTGTCAAGGGCGGTTCTTCTCCGAATGCTGGTCCATTTGTCGAAAGGCACCTACGCTTGATCGGTTAGTCTCGTGTGATCTCCCCCTCGATTTCAAGGTTCTAAAAGATAACAGAATGGTACAAGAACCATAGATCGCCTCCACCGGCTAGCCCCCCTCCAGTTCCACGAACCCCCCAAAACCCTGAACTTACTGCCCTTTGGAGCCAGCAGTTGAAGCCAAAGAGACGACGTGGCAAGAATGCAACCAAGACCCAACTCGCGGAGAATCGAAATGCACTGCACACTATCGATGAGGATGGACCTGGACTTGGACCGAGTGGCTCAGGCACACCCAATGTCCCATATGTTCGTTCATACGCTCCGTACGAAGGGGCTCAGCAGCAGTCTTTTGAAGAAAACCAGTCACCCCCGGTTGACCCAAGGGCGAAGTATGCACTCGATTTTCGCCCGCTGCCTAGAACAGTACGTGCTGCTAGACCTGGAGGCAACTTCTTGAGCCGGCCCATGGAGAAAGTGGAAGGCGGACTTTGGCGCCTCGTACCTGAAACTCGAGAGAACGAGAGGCCTGCAGAATCGATGTCCCTAGTTCCGCGGAACAGCAGTGTCCAGGCTCGCCATTCCAGGGCGCAGGAGGAAAGCTCATGGACTTGGCCATATACTGTCCCCCCTCAGCAGGCCCCCCAGGGACCTCAAGGATCTCAAGGACCTCAAGGGCCTCAGGGAAGGGGCCTACCTTCTATCCGTCAAGCGTTTCCTTTCATCAACTTTAGGCAGCCTCTGAACTCTGCCCCTTTTCGGGAGACATCACATCAGACTGGCAAGCGCGGCTACAGTGGTGGTCAGGACCAGAATCAGACCCCTAAGCGACGAAGACTTCCTGATCACCCTGTCCCCCATCAAAGCAACTCGCAGCAACCGAGCCAGAGAAAATAAATCATGGATGATCATGGACGACGGTTTGGCCCACAGTGCGGTAAGACGACCAAACATTGGACGAGGACGAGTGAGAGATCGAGAGTGGAACGGAAATTGTAGTCAATGGGGGATGCGTGAAGAGACCTTTATTTTGAGCTTTGAAGATTTGTGGCTAGGAGGATGATTGCTGAGACTTGACCAGAGGAAATGTATTATTAGAGCAACAACTTGAGGGCAGCAGCTTGTTATGACAGCCTTGTTGATATTTGAAAACAAACAACAGTTATGCAAATCCCGGACTTCATTGTCCCACAAATCGGTGACCTCAACTTCGTTTAATCCTTTGTTTGTTCTTCTACATCTTCTAGCTTTTGAACAATTAAACGGACGGGTCCGCCGAAGTCGGCACGGTGGGGCCGGATTTCCGACAACGCCCCCCGAAAAGCGGTGGCTATTGGCAGAAATAATCCTCCCGAAAGATTTCCCCAGACAATCTCAAGTCTATCCATCCGGCCATAGCTAAACCCGTCCTCCCACTTTAACGACCGCGTTCCTCATCTCATCTCATCACAACCATGAATTTCCCGGGAATGACACCTCCAGGCGGCGCCGCCGCACCGCCTGCGATCGGCGGACCTCAGGATCCCAACGTCAAAGCTGTATGTGGATGCGCAACTTGCTCGGAATTTCGCGGGGCGCATTGCTAACTCTGAGAAATATAGGTTCAGTCTGCGATGGAGTCTTGTTTTGGAAAGTCAGTCATGTCGGGAGTTATGGGATTCGGTATGGGTGGTTTATTTGGAATGTTCATGGCCTCTGTATGTTCTTTGGCGAACCTCGACCCTTTATCCCAAGCTAATATCCCTGCCAGATGTCCTACGATACACCTTACCACACAGCCGCCCCCGGTAGCCCACAAAGCACAATCACATCGCTTCCTCTCAAGCAACAACTCAAGATCGGATTCAAGGATATGGGAACACGTTCATGGTCTATGGCCAAGAACTTCGGAAAAGTTGGTGCTTTGTACTCCGGCGTAGAGTGCGGTATCGAAGGCCTGCGAGCGAAGAACGATCTTACGAACAGTGTCGCCGCAGGATGTTTGACGGGAGGTATTCTGGCCAAGAATGCTGGCCCTCAAGCTGCTGCAGGTGGTTGTTTGGCTTTCGCAGCATTTAGTGCGGCTATCGATGCATACATGCGATCACCACCCAAGGACGAGTAGATGCTGGCAGCTGATGTCAACAAAATTGGGGTTCGGATGAGTGGGTTAAGAGATGTATAAGTACGCTTGGCTTTTCTACAGACGTGGGAGTTTACGGTAATCATATTTCTAGAGCATAGGGCGGCGTTGGGAGACGGACTCTCCTCTTTTGGAATGTTTACCACTGAATGTACGAAGGTGGTACAAGGATAGATATGGAGATGACGATATGGCATTTGTATTAACAGGTATTTTAAGACCCGAGCTTCATAGAGGAGCTGCTCATGTAGAATCCACGAGCCTACACTGTAATCTTAGCAAAAGAATTTATGTCTGCAATGACTGCCTATCCCATAATTGCAACTTGAAGACCCCTTTGTTCTTAACGCCGCGCTTTCAAAAGAGCAAAGAGCACACGATTTGCTTTGGACAAACTCAGGCTTAACTTGCCTGGTATACTTGGAAAGTCCCAAACTCCCAATACGCATTCTCAAATGCTTCAGGATTGTTGGCGACGAGATCAGTGCATTTACCCGAACCTGAAAATAGTCAGCATTATGTCTTACAAGCATATGAGCCAACTTACATCCAGAGTCGTCCCAAACGTGATAAACAAGACTACCACACAGGTCGATATTGGCAATGATGCTCTGGTTCTTGAAATGCGTGCCAATGTCGCAATGCGTGTTGGGAAAGTCGGCAACAGCAGTGCCCCAGGTGTCGGGCTTTGGGTTGTTTCCTTTGATATCTGATGGTATAGAGTCTCTACCGAACTGCCACATGCGGATGCCTTCATGTCGCCATTCAACCGCCATCACACCTCCTCCATTCTTGTTGAAGACGGAGCCGTATCCCGCAGGCTTTGAAAGAACACCACAGCCTGCATTATCGTCCTTTTCGTGGTTGCAGTTTTTCTGTAGTATCTTTCCTGTTTCCTCGCGGCGTACGTCCATTGAGCAGTCGCCGGTAGTGTGCAAAGTCATTTGATTCCCGTCTTCAGCTTTGTTTGTCGACTCCATCACATCAATTTCTCCATGGTTTGGCCAGTTGTAACGGTCAGTAAGCCAAAGGGCCGGCCAGGTGCCACAGCCATAGGGAGTATGCTTGACGTCGAAGATGAAGAGGCCGTTCTCGTATGTCTTTTTGGACTCGATTCGGACAGAAAAGCGACCCGTAGACGCATTAGGCTTGCTGTTGGGGCCGACAGAAGTGTCGACTTTGAGAACGGCAGTGCTGGGCGAAACATATGTGAGATTCTGGAGAGTATTAGGTGAACAGGATCCAAAGCAGTAACTTGTGTTGTGGCCAGTAGGGGTTTCTTACAAGATCTTTTGCTTGCGCTTCTGGAACGTAATGTACGAAGCCCTCAGCTGAAAAGAGACGTCAGTATTACAAACCTTGAAATTGGAGGTAGTTCTTACTGGGGTCGTATCCTGTGAAATAGTTGAACTGGTCAAAAAAGGATTCACCTCCATCTGGGTGGTGGTTAGCGGGTCTTTGTATATCCAGGTTGAGGGTGACAGGCACTTACATGTATCTTTCAAGGTGTACGATAATGGTGAGTAGTCAGGATACATATTCTTTCTAGCTCTCTCCACAGCGACGGCGACAATTATTATCACTATAACAAGGATGACTATGATAATAGCGGCCCAGATTCTCTTTCGCCAGTATCGAGGATTCCACCAGGGCATTGATGAGCTCGCATGGCGGATTTCCTGGCCTTTGCGAGCCAGCATTACCTCGTCGTAAATTGGAGGTATCTCTCCAGGCTTGACGCCAGATGAATACATTGACATCCTGATGTAGTTGAAAATGGAAGAACTGGGGCGATGGGTGAGTGAAGAGTCGGAGTTGAAGTTGCTTGCACCAAGAGAAGAAGTGAAGTGAAGTGAGGTGAATTCAAGTAAAGAGAAGAGAGTTGGGGATAGATAGAATGGAATGCAATGCAGAAGAGATGGATGTTAATGGAGATGGGTTGTCTCAGCCTCGAGTGCACCCTCTCAGAAGCATATGAATCAAGTTTCTTTTTTTATTCACAGAAGGAGGAAATGAGGAATGAATAATTGTTGAAACATTTGAAGGAGCAAAGCAGCTCTCTTCCTTCCTTCAATACTGTGCAGCTGAAGATAGGTAGTCGGGCGCACATCCAGGGCAGCCCGTGAGTGATTCACAGTCCCTTTCTATAAGACTTGCGACCAAAGTTTATTGGGCATTTGACGTAGGTATCATGAGCAGCAAATCAATATAATAAGGGTACTTGACGGCACTCAAGCCGCCCATGGGGCATCCCCCACATGCCGTCTTTCCGATCTGCCTACTCCCTAGCGCATGCATCTTTTTGGTGTGGGCTGAAGTTCGATGGCTGATGATGATATCCGCGTAGCCGTGCAGCCGTGTTAGCCACGAGAATGGGAGGGTTCAGGGGTAAACACGAGAGACAACAGACAAAAACCACTGATAAGCCAGAGTCTCAACACCGTTTCCGAAATCACTACAAAAATAGTTCGTGTTGATTGCATTATTTACCTGTCTCAAGGGATAGCTTAAACTCGGAAAATGGCTCCTAGGAGATAGCGAGACGCGTAATCTGCAGACCAATAACTGATAGAAGCGTGTAAACCCAACACTACCATGAATCGATGACCGGAAATACGGCCTGGCAACGCGTCATTTTACTGATCTCTTTATTTATAATCTCCACTGAAAAGAACGAGCTCGAATTATTTAAGTTCGAGAGCTCAGTGGACATTGTCGATTGTCTTATTTTGGTGCCGACGCTAACAGAAATTGAGGATAACTTACACAGGCATGAGACGTACGAGACATGCCGTGAAGCCGAGAGCCGCTTACAGCGTGTCTGAGACCTGAGGGGATAGAAAATGATGTTGTCGCGTGCAAGGGACTCGGCTACCATTGTAACATAACTACTTACAGATACTGGTAGCTCCTAACAAAGTATCAAGGGAGCGTTTGAAATGCTACCAAGTATTACGCCTCGCTCATCGTCGATGTAATGTAACATATGAAAGATCTCTGATTCCAAATCCCACTCCGCCAGCAGATCCTCCTCGACTGTAATGACGATAAATTTCGTACAAAAGACATCCAATGCCTTCCAGCATCCATCCATGGCTTAGACAGTCAATGTCTTTGAAATAGCCACAGCAGCACAAAGCCATGCCCCAAGATCAGTCGTCAACATCCTCAAATTATTGACAGCCAACCATCTCTCCAGCATCCCAACATTATCCGTCCCCTCCGCAGCACAATTGTCCTCCCACAGCGCCCTGAGCTTCCACGCTACAGCAGGCACATATGCAAGATGTCCCAGCGCCAGTGCAGCAGACCAGCCGTACCAGAATAGTGAGCCGCGAGACCGGAGCAAAGCGCTGTCAGACCAGATGTTGACGATTGAAGTGCTGAATGTTAGGCCAATAAAAGTGAGGACCGCCCACGGGCCTGAACCGTAGAAATTATTGATGTAGCCTGGAAGGATCTCATTGGCCTTCTTGCGCTCAATGGGAGGCTTGGTAAAGAGGGTGAGGAAAAAACTTTGGTCACGGGCGAACCAGAGTGTGATGCTTGATGAGACGAGGGGAGCTGTTAAGAGGAGGACCCTGGGGTTGAAAAACGCTCCAGAAGCCATTTTGATGCAATTGAATTGATTAAAAGTTACAAGACTGAGATCAACTGGGCTGTGAGTCTTGATACTCAACAAGAGGATTCTGCTTAACTTCAAGGTCGGGTTTATATAAAATCAGTTTGAGAGTAAAAGCCTCCGAAAAACATTGACTTTATGCGACCCTGGGATGTTACTGTTGCTTCTCTGATCATGGCGATCCTTCAAACCCTCCTCACGCGCTAGCTATTACAACGCCAAACCCTCCGACCCTGCAGAAACTGATGACCGAATAATTTCATAAGATCAGCCCTGTCGTATGATGTCGGAAAATCTAGGATAATATTTCTTAATTATTCTTTTGTCCCAAGGAACCATAAACTTCATTTTTGATAATCGTTGTTAATTAGATATACAGCTTATAATCTACTCGACCTCCAGTCTGAGTGCATCATACTGAACATACACCGATGTTGGCAGCACAGCAGACTCGTAGTTGGTAGCGTTATAAGGCAAGCTCAGGATGATCTCATTGTCACCCTTCTTCAGCAACTTGGCATCGAACTCGAATTTATGAGCGGTATTGTAGCAGCTCACTGAGGAGCGAACAGCACAGGAGCTGCTGTGGTCGTAACTTAGAAAGGGTCAGTATAGCTCATCTTCGAGAGACCAAGGTTTGACTTACGGAATAACCCAAGGCTCGAGATCCTTGCCGTTGATGTTCACGGTGTACTTGAGATTCGAGTGAGGCTCAGAAGCATTGTAGATATCCGTGTTTCCAGCAGCAGTCTTGGCACCCGCAAGCTGAACGGTAAAAGTTGCATGCTTCTTGTGCTTGACCTGCGACTCCTTCAGATCGAAGGCAATAGTCCAGTTGTTGACATTGCCATCGCCAACATACTGATCTGGGCGTACGGAGTTGCCCTTCCCTCCAAAAACACTCCAGTGGACGTAGTTGAGATCCTTGCCGACATCACTTTCCCCAACCTTGAAGTTGACACCATCAGGGAAGTCCTTGACAAAGTCCCAGTTGGCCCAGTAAATACGGTACTGTTCCGGCTGCAGCGGCTTGGATGTGTCGGGCTCGAAACCGTGGCGGTATTCACCAGAGGTCTTGTCAGGAGTACCAATTCGCCAGAGTTCCTTGCCAGCGGACTCTTCCCTCCAGCGGACATTCTTCTTCTCTGTCTTGCCAGCCTTGATCTTGACCTTATCCTGAGTGTATTGTCCAAAGATGTTATCGGCATAGACGGTAAGACGATATGTTCCAGACTTGACTCGAGGAATAGTAGCACGGCCGCTCTCATCAAGATTAGCCCAGTACTGGTAAGCCTTTGTATCGAAGACATTGTCTTGGAAGTCCACGCCGCTCTGGGCGAGAACAGCAATGGCATTCTTAGCCCCCTTGGGAAGATCGACCTTGACCTCGAAGGACCCTCGTGATTTCGTTGGTACATAGTTAGGAACGTGCTTTGCAATTGAATCGTAGAAATCGGCATTCCACTCAGGGTCGGCGTATTGAGCTGCATCAGCCTGGGCTTTCAAGATGTCGGTCTCTCCAGGAAAGCGGTTGAAGTGGAAGTATTGCTACAAGAGATTAGAGAAATTGGTATGGATGCTAGATGCTTCAGATAGACTTACAGGTCCAAATGTTCGGTCAAATCCATTGGTAATGTTAGGCTGAACAGGTTAGTTCGAGTCTATATAGAGAAGTAAGTTGACTTACCGTTTGATCTCCGTGATGGTTAGAGCTAATATAGTTGTAAAGAATACCATCGACAACCAAGTCAGAATGCAGAGGGCCACCAAAGTAGGTGTCTTTGGTGTTCATGACAAGCCAAGCACCATATGCATCTCCATCTTCGGTCTGGGAACCATCAGCGAACCTTTTATCTGTCAGTCAAATATCCCAAAATGCCGAGACGCATGAAACTCACAATCCATAAGCATCGATATCACGCCAGCTGTCTTGGAACGTATACTTGGTAAAGTAATCCGCTTCCTGCTTAACATATGGATCATTTGGTGTGTTTCCTAGATACCATGTGGCATCTTGCACCACAACCTGCTTCTCCTTTGCTTCCTTGCCTGGGAGAGGCGCATATTGCTTCGTGTTGGTCAGGAGATGAGTCCACATGTCGTTATTCGGTCGGAAGAGGGTTCGAAGCTCCTGAAGGTTGCGAAGGAAGGGCTGCTCCTCGTTATGATACGCGACTCGACTGAAGGTATGGAGGCCAGTTTCTCCATCTCTCAAGAACCAGTATTGCTCCAGAACCTGGCCTGTCTCGGTGTACGTGTCGGACATGACAATCCCGCCATAGTCCTTACCCTTGCCATCTTTACCCTTGAAGAGTTTGTACTTGGGGGCCACAGAACCCGGCGTCCAGAATCCCTTGGGCGTGCAGTAGCAATCAAGGTAAGGTCCAATGCCTGTAGATCCAGATGGGCTACCGAGAAGGTTCGTTCCGTCAAGAGTGAGCTTTACAATGGCGCCGCCCTTCTTCTGAACAGCCGCATATAGTCGGTCGTTTGAAATCACCAACTGTGTATCGGTCTCGGTCGCATTGAGAGCCGCGGCTACCAGTTGAGGTGCCTGGAGCAGCGAAACGAGAAAAGCGGCCGAAAGCTTGCGGAACTTCATAGTCAAGGCTGCGATGGGTGAAAGTGGCAGAAGCTATCGATCAACAACTCCAGGGCGATCAATGCGATCTCAACTCTCTTTATAACTACATAAGTCACCCTTGACCCCACAAACAACCCCCAACAACCTTGTGGGGGATGAAGCCTTCATGAGAAGGCGAGGTAGCTTGGTCATGTATTTCCCCATGGGGACGTTGTCGATCACATCTTTTCAGGCTTAAGGCCGTACTTTAGCAAATTATTCGGGAGAAATAAAAGCCCCCTGCTCTCGGTTTCGGGTCAACGATCAGCGAGTATCAGGGGAATGCTAGCTTCACGCAGGCGAATGACCTTATAGACCTGGTCAACACCATGGCGATTCTCCAAAGGTTGGCAGTTCGTGACGTTTACCCCGCAAACAAGCCCAAATTGGTCATATATCCGAATTGCGGAGGGAGATGAGATCCAGGTGATTCCACGTATTGGAACTGGGGCCTCCCCCAACGATGGTCTTAGCATTGAACGGTTGGTATCATGAGGCAGTTGAATAAGATTAATTCGCCAAGCACCGAGGGCTGTGCTCTGGTACTGTCTTGGCATTGTAAATATGGTTCCTGTAATCCAAAAACTGCCTATTGACGGCTCACTGAGTCTAACTGTATAACCACTAACTCTGCACAATTTTGCTGTTTAATCTTCGTCGTCGTCAGGGTCGACTCGCGGTCGTTTGGATTGTCTGTTGTCTTCATCCTGCAAGCCATAACCTCGCTTAGATGATGAGTTCTGGTCTACCTCAGATAGAAACTTGTCAACATTGAAAGGATCTCCAGCATCCTTCTCAAACTGAACTGGTCCTTCACGTGCCTGTGTTGAGTTTGTTAGCAAAGTTTTAGAAGGCGTTCTGTGAAAATGGAAACTGACCTCGGCGTCTGCGGCACCTTTGAAAGTTCCCTTGCCAAGGGCTTCACCAAAACGACTGCTCTTCTGGATCTTGGCCATTTCCCTGTCACCAGCTTGGCCATCGTCATCATCATCCACATTCGCTCGTGGCCGGTAAATACTGTTGATGGCGTCCTGGGCAGCGAAGAGAGGCTTGTCGTAAGGGTTATCCTCGTTGATACCACTATCGAATCCGCTTGTTTGGTTGAAAAGTCTCGAGTCATACATTGTCTCCTTTGATTGTGTAGGTTTGGCTAGGCCTAGAGCAATCTTCTCAGATATATCTCTGCCTTGTTCACGGGCCATAACTTGAGCTCGGCGTTCAGCACCCATGCGATTTTGTCGTAGCTTTCGCTCTTCCTCCCTCTGTTTCTCTTGTCGTGCTTTAACACGCTCTCTGACTTCTTCATCCTCACTGTCAGAGCGATCTGAATCGGAGTAACTGTAGCTTCGTGACCGCGACCTCGAGTCCCTCGAGTCCCCAGAGTCACGAGAATCTCGACGTCCACGACCAGCACCAGCCCGTTCTGCTCGGGCCTTTTGGGCTAATTCTCGAAGGGTATCCTCTTTTTGTGACTTTTCCTTCTCCGCCAGGCGCTGTTGCATCATGGCACGTTTCTGAACCTCATCACGAGCAAAACGCTCGGCTGTCTTTAAACCTTCGGCCAATTGAGCATGACTGTCGCTAATGACCACATCCTGTAAGCCTCGTCCATCTGCAGCCAGGCGCTTATCCAATGGTACTGTGAATCCCTTCGGGTTCTTCCAGTTCGAAATTGGGGGAGGAATCCTCCACATTTCCTGGTCTTCAGCGGTGAGCTTTCGTGGTGGTGAGTGCATAACTGGTGGGGGCGGCGAAGGTGGTCCTCGAGGAATCTTTTTATGCTTGAACTTGGGCGGTTCCATGGGATCTCTTTGGCGCTCGACAATTTTCATGATGCGGTCCTGCTTCTTGGAGTTGTCGCCCATCTGGTTTGCAGGTGTATATCGAACAAACGTAGCGTCTTTTCGTTGCCCAATATTAACATTCTTCGGTTTCTGGGCTGCGACGGCTCCCGAGACCAATGCAGCTAATGCGTTCTTCGTCCTCTCTGTTGTTGCCTCCACAGACTCCTTATCGGGTCGCGAAAGATCGATCTCGCCCGCGTCGGCGCGTTGTCGAAGAGGGATCAGTTCCTTGAATGAAGTGTGAACGATACGACTTTCGCTGTGTCCTTGTCGCGCGATGGCATCGTATTTGACCTTGCCCTCGGAATCAACTTGAATTGCCAACGCGTTGCTAGAATTTCCTCCTTTCTTTCCCATCTCTAACGGATACTGAGCGATCGGAATTTCGGGAAAAGCACCTCCATCGCCAAAGTCCTCCTGCGATCGAGGGCGCCATCCTGAGCGCTGGCCATATGCTGGAGGACCAGATCGCTTGAGGACCAGCTGGGTTTCGTCAAGTTGTCCGGGGCCAACAATTCGAACACCGCGTTGTTGCGCTCGCGCCGGAGGTTCTTCATCTTCGCCCGTGTACTTTGGTTTGGGCAGTGCAGCCTGAAGCGACCCGGCGAGTGATGCCATTTTGTGTTTGTGAGAAGAAGTTGTTTCGATCATTCGTCAGTCGCGAGGCTCCGAGGTTTAGAATTTCAAGAGGCGACGGCTCTTAAAAAGGTTTAGCGCATAGAGTAGCTTGGTGCTACGCCAAGATTCGATGGTTGCATCAATCAACCTTGGAAAGCAATGCTTAAATCCGATTGAAGAGTGACAATAGAAAAAATAAGTAAAGTTGCCGAGTATGAAGCGGATAAATCATACCCGAAGACCATATTTAGCATTTGAGAATGGAGATTGCAAGGCAGCTCACGGTAGCGTAACGTAATTGGTCGTTGAAGCTTTGCAATCAGGCAGCTCTTGGAACCACGTGAAAGACCTCCTTAGCCTGTGCAATTCAAGAGCTCAGGCAGTATCTTAACTGTGATTTACATATCCATGGATACATTAGTACCTCAGCTGTTCGATGTTATATTTTTTATTTTTTACATCTTTATTATATGAAAATTTAAGAAACATAGAGATATCTTTGCTTTTATGGTAGGATTCTCTTAGGCTAACAAAAATCCAGGGGTAACCTACTATTGAAAGCATGGAGCTATTGGAGCCATGCCCCAGAAACGTCATCTCATTGGTTGGGAAACTACTGGCCAGGTATTATTTCAAGTGCGTGAAGATGATCAGGGGATTTGGATGTTGACAATGGCAGAAGTCAGAAGAGAACTTCAGTTCGCATGGAAAACACCGATTCATAAATGTAAATTGCCACAGCCTCATATCATTTCATTGACTGTCAGGCCAAGCAAAAGCGTATCATGACAACTATCATATCAGTATCGCAAATCTGTAAATTCAACCCAAATACCAGACTCTTAAGACAGTTCAAGCGCTCTGCTTCCGCTGATTATACGTAACACTTCCGATATCCATCTCCTTTTGATTCCGCGCCTCGTAACACCCAGTTCCGTCGTATATGATACAGCGATTTCCTTATACGTAGCCTTTGCGCGCACCCTAATTATATAGTTAGCCAGTGCTCCGCGAACTTTCATACACGCAAGTAGGACTTACCTGGAAAAAGAATCGAACAACAAACACCTGTAGCGCACCCATGCAGATAATCAGACCGATCTGGATCATGCTGAAGTTGATGATTCGGCCCTCAGTGCTGTTGACGGTGGCAAAGTTACGGTTTTCACGAGTTCGGAAGTACTTCTGGTTTCGGGAAATGGTCGAAAGCTGGCCAGAGACCTTGAAGATGGAGTCCTCGAGGATCGAAGTCTGTTCGGGGGTGGTACCCTGCTTGGAAGGCAGTTGGGCGCGGGACTCGTTCTCGACGGCAATCTCGAAATCGACAAACTTCTCGGCGAAGGTGCTCATCTCGTTATCGAAGCAGAAAGAGTAGTCACCGACAACATTGGCGGAGAAGACGAAGTCGCCTTGTCGCTCCTTTTGACCATCCATGATGATCTTGCCATTGGGACCCTCCACGACGTAGTCGACGTCAAAAGAACCACCGGATTGGACCTGTAGTTCATGTTAAACTCCATATTCGGCGGGTGACTTGCATTGGGGGAGGCTCACAGCAAAGTAGAATGCGATCTTCTCTCCCTGCTTTTTCGTGGTGGTATGGAAACAGGCCTTCTCGTTGGCATCGAGCTTGTATGTCAAAGCAGTAGCAGCGACATTGGTGACCAGACCGGCGAAAAGCCCAGCGACAAGTGTTGATAGTCTCATTGTTGCGGCTTTGTATAGGATGTTGTCGCGTGCTGTTCAGGACAAGCTGTCGCTAAAGTGGACATGTGTCGGAGCCAACGACCCCTGTTCCTGACTGAACAGTCGGCATCACGTGATTGCATTGTCAGGTCTCCCGTCCCGCTCGGGGCTAGGGAGGTACTTGTATCATTCCCTGATAGGGAGTTGCTAACTGTGCTTCAGCATTGGATATCTCTGTGTTGGATCTTCTTTTGTAGTGATATAGCTATCTCTAGCTTGACAGTTGTTAGGTAACTGCTCTTTTTATTTTTTCGCCAGCTACCTGAAGCCTCTTTCTGTCAACCACTGTTTGCCCCCACCGCTTCTGTTCTCAACTCACGCTTCCCTAGCAACTATCATCTTTATATCTTCCACCCCCAACCTCTATTTTTTCTCGTTGCACCCTCGCTGTCTATTTTCCTTCAGGCGTGAGATACCTCATGCCTTGAGAACCTTGACTAGCTCAGCAACGATGGCATCTCCTGCTTCAGCGGTGCCTGTGCTGCCGCCCATATCTTTGGTTCTTAGTCCGGCGTCGATGGCAGCTCGAACCGCGTCCTCAACAGCTTTAGCCTCGTGGGGAAGATTCAGAGAGTACCGTAACATCATAGCCACGGAAAGGATGGTGCCAATGGGGTTCTAGAAATAATGTCAGCTCTGGACTTGCAGCAAATGTATAGGATCCGTCCGAAACAGGGGTTTAACATACGACAATCCCCTTTCCTGAAATGTCCGGCGCGCTACCTGTCGTTTGAGTTAGCGACTGATATCTCGAAGGGCTCGAGTGGAGGATGGGAGTCTTACCATGAATAGGTTCATAGATAGAAAGCACTTTGGAGCCCACTTCGGGAACTCCGCAGAGACTAGCGCTTGGGAGGAGCCCTATGCTGCCAGTTATAGCGCTCGCCTCGTCGCTCAGAATATCTCCTAAAGGCTCATCAGCTGAAACGTCTACGAGGTGGCCGAGGGGCCTTGCTTACCTGCCAAGTTTGGCGCTATCATAACGCCGTTGAGTTGCTTCGGGTTCTTGACCATGATCATGGCGGCGCTGTCAATGAGCTGATGCTCAACCTTCAAATCAGGGAACTCGTTCTTATAAACCTCGTCAACCACAGAACGCCAGAGTCTGCTTGTTGCCAACACATTGGCCTTATCTAGCGAGATGACCCGCGAGTCTCCCCTAGTCTTGGCTAGGTAGCCGCCCAGCCGTGCGATACGCTCGATTTCTGGCTTCGTATAAACAGTAGTGTCGAACGCATTGACTCCATCGTACTCTTTCCTCTCTCCGAAATACAGGCCTGAGGTCAATTCCCGGACTAGCATCATGTCGACGCCACGGCAGACATCCGCCTTTAGGGGGGAGGTCTCGACGAGTGCGTCGGACGCGAAGAAACAGGGACGGAGGTTTCCATAGGCGCACATCTCACTGCGTAGCTTTAGAAGGCCCTGCTCCGGGCGAACGGCGCCAGTACCCCATTCAGGCCCGCCAATGGCACCGAGGAGCACAGCGTCGGAGGCTTTGGCGGCGGCGAGGGCCTCGTCTGTAAGAGGGGAGCCGGTCTTGTCGATAGAGCACTGGGGAGAAAAGCAGAAGTCAGCAAGAGACTTATCTCATGAGTATCTTCGGACCCGAGTGATCCGTTATCCAGGGACGACTTACTCCTCCGAGCAGCAGGTGATTCAAATTGAATTTGCCAGCAGTCGGGCTGTTGTCCTCAACCGCCTTGATAACCTAAATTCTGCGTCAGACGTGTCCAACTGCAGGTTGAAAACACTAGACTCATACCTTAATGGCTTCGGCAATAACCTGAAAAATAACCAAAGTCAGCCTCTCTCCGTCTAGAGTCAAGGATCGGGTAGCCTACCTCTGGGCCACAGTGGTCGCCCGCAAAGACAACAATGTTGTGTTCCGCCATGGTTGCAATACTTATCTGGGAGAAGAATCCGTTTTATGTGACGAAGCACGAGAGTAATTGGTTAGAAAAGGAAGTGAGGAAATTGAAGAATAAATTCGACGAGATATCGCTGAGCTTCCATTACCCTTACCCCCGCTACATAACTGCCGAGATCGGAGAGGGGCATTGAAAGTTTGGCATAGCTGCGTAGCACGAGCAGGCGGCGGGGTGGAATCCTCTGCCATGTGGCTGACAGACCCCTCCTGGGCTCCTTTTTACCACGCCCAGCTGGCCCAGGTAAGGGAAATGTTTAGCCACAGTTACGCCACATACGAGCTTATGAGCCAATACGAGCCAAGGTAATGTTACAGGACAGGGTCATCTCAGACCATGACCTCACCCCCTTGTAAGGTAGTCCTTCATAACAAAGCTTCAGGTAAAACGGGGCTGTCTTCTTGATAAATAACTTGCTCCTCATGACGCGTTGAGTTGTTGATATATAAATTTCCAGCTTTTGTTCTTCTTGACTCTCCTTAATTCCACCGCAGATTTCAAAGCTGTCTCGTCTTACACGCCCCGTCTCATCCCAGCTTTCGCGAACTCCCCCTTGATTGTTTTGGTGTCTCCTTTTAGAGGGAGTCGTCATCATGGCTCTTCAAACGAAGGCCGCAAAGCTGTCCTCAGTCGCTCTGAGGATAAGCACTCTCATATTCTTCAGACTTGTAAGTGGCTCATACTTGCTAACACGAGAAAGTGCTGACCGTAGACTATAGTTCCCAGTAAGCCGCAGCTCAAGAAGCTTTAATCTTACCAACTGACCGAATCCTCCAGGCACATTTCCCTTCCATCGCGTTTGCGCTCTTTGCAATCTATGTTCCTTCTTACATTTCGAGCTACTTCGCTCAGCCAGAGATTGGAGTTCTCGAGGATGAAGTCGACGTCACTGTGAAAGAGTCCACAGTCACCTCTGAAACTCCCTTATTAACAGAGGATGGTGTCGCAGTCGCACCTGAGGCTGAGGTTGTCGCCGAGGTTGTCGACATTAAGGAGAAGCTCACTGTTGGAGAGAAAGTTCCCAGCATCGCAAACATCCTCTTGTCCGGAGCTCCCAGTGCTAGGCGCCCAATTGCGTCGTTCTTGACCTTCCTCATCAACGCCATTCTTATCAGCTTGACGGCTGATGCTTTGTTTCGTGCAAGGTGGTATTATCCTTCTGATGATCTTTCTTTTGTTAGACTCGGATATGTGTCACCATCAGAGGCGAGGTTCGTCATTCGCGAGCCCGATCAGTTGCAAATGCCTATCACATTCGAATATCATATCAAGGATGATGAGCCGACCTATGATACCAAGATTTGGCTCACTGCAGGCTACGTCACTTCGACAGACAACAGCACCGATTTTACCACAACTCTTACAGTGCCTCTTGACTCCGCGAAGCAGAACATCTACGAGTGGAGGACTTCCAACAACCACACTGGCGAGTTTCGCTCTGCTCCCAAAGTTGGAGAGATGCCAAACACCAAGGATGGCCTTTTTACCTTCCTGTCCACGTCTTGCATTCTTCCCCGATTTCCCTACAACCCTATGGAACATGCTTTGGCTATCCCTGGCCTGAGGAATCTTGCAGGTCTACTTCCTAAGTTGGATCCTCAGTTCATGCTCTTCCTTGGCGACTTCATCTATGTTGACGTCCCTGAACGGTTTGGGAAAACGATTGACGAGTATCGCATGCAATACCGCCAAATCTATGCTTCACCTGACTGGGCCCCTGTTGCACAGAATCTGAGCTGGATTCACGTGCTCGATGACCATGAGATCTCCAACGATTGGTCTTCTAACACAACTGGCATCTACAGCGCGGCTGTTGACCCTTGGCACATGTACCAAGCCAATGTCAACCCACCGATTTCTGAAGCTGCAGGTTCTCTCAACCTGAGACGCAATGCCACATGGTACGAGTTCACCCAAGGACCAGCCAGCTTTTTCATGATGGATACTCGCAGCTATCGTTCCAGCAACAACGCCCCTTTCAATGCCACGGACAAGACCATGCTAGGCAAGGAGCAATTGGCCGACCTTTTGGCATGGTTGGAGCGTCCTGTTCCTCAAGGAGTTCGATGGAAGTTCATTGCTTCTTCTGTTCCTTTCACCAAGAACTGGCCTATCAATGTGAAGGATACCTGGGGTGGTTTCCTTGCCGAGAGAAAGCAAGTCCTAGAAGCTATGTGGGATTCTGGTGCTAGAGGCGCCAGTGTCGTTATCCTCTCTGGAGATCGCCATGAATTCGCCGCAACCAGATTTCCTCCCCCCACTGACTCGCGATGGCCACAGTCCGCTGCTGCTCACGAGTTTTCAACAAGTCCTTTGAACCAATTCGCTTCTCCATTCCCAACGTACAAGCAGACAGACGATGATATTATGATGAAGTAAGTTTATGCTCAATTGATTAAGGCACAGCTACTAACAGATACCAAGGTATATCCCTGGGGGCAAGTCAAAGTTCGGATCATTTTCTATTGAGAAATTCGAAAACGGTGGGAGCTCACTACACTACACTCTTTACATTGACGGAAAGGAAACTTGGAAGACAACGGTGGAGGCTCCGGATGCGCCTGAAGCAGTTCCTGTTGAGACGGTCGTACCCCCATCACTGTGGGACAAGCTCAGCAAGTTCTTCTAGATGTTAGATCTTTACACAAGAGGCGGGACCAATATTCAGTTTTTGAAAACTATAGCACTATTTAATACCACTCTTTCACCTCGGAATCTTTCTTCGACCCCAAACCTGGATATAAATAACTCCATAGAGTAATACCTGCTACTCAAATTATTACACCCAGCTTACAGAGTATATCGGGACCTCTTAGATACGGCCCCACTAGCAACGGCCCCACAATCCATCCACAGAAGCTTAGCTCACCGCCCAGGCCCACCCCTCCACTGGCCAGAAAATTTCCCCGGCAAAATTCTCAAAAGTTTGACGTCCAATTCAGATCCGCGACGATTTGCTTCGGAAGCATTGAATACCCCAGCTTCATCAACTCGACACAAACATTTCACAATGGCCGGACCTGGAAACAAAAAGAAGAGACAGCACGATGGTCGTCTACAACGGCCCACAAAGAAGCAAAAGAGAAAGCAACTCCGAGATTACAACAGTGACTCTGAATCGGAGGAGGCGCAAGAGTTCGACGCTGTAAATCTGCTTGATTCAGACGACGATATTCACAATGTCAAGGTGGACGATGTTGGCGACTCCGAAAATGAAGTTTCAAGCTCAGAAGACGAGGGCGCTGTGGCAAACAAGCCCCTGAAGAAGACAAAAACAAACGCCAAGAATGCCAGAGACAGCAAACCAGAAGCTGAATCCGACGAAGAGGAAGACGATGATGACGACGAAGGGTCAGACGATGAGGGTGAGGATGGCGCTTCCACAAACAAACGCAAAAAGTCGAAGCGAAACGACCCCAATGCCTTCGCAACATCGCTCTCCAAGATTCTCTCTACCAAGCTATCATCGTCCAAGCGATCAGATCCTGTCCTCGCCCGAAGTGCCGCAGCACACGAAGCCTCCAAGGCCGCTGTTGACAGCGCCTTAGAATCTAAGGCGAAAAAGCAGATGCGCGAGCAGAAGAAGCGAGCTTTCGAGAAGGGCCGTGTGAAGGATGTTCTTATCGCAACCACAAACGACGCCACTGGAGAGCTCGAGACATCGACATCGGAGATTATGGTGACAGAGAGGAGGCTACGAAAGGTTGCGCAGCGTGGTGTTGTCAAGCTGTTCAACGCCGTTCGTGCCGCACAAGTCAAGGCTGTTGAAGCCGAGAAAGGTGTGAAAAAGGAGGGTGTTATCGGTATGAAGAAGCGAGAGGAAAAGGTCAATGAGATGAGTAAGAAGGGTTTCTTGGAACTGATCGCTTCAGGAGGCGGCGGGTTAAAAAAGGGAGCGCTTGAGGAGGCGTAATATCATTTCAGTGTGTTCATTTCTTTCTTTCGTTTAAGAGGAGTAGTGGAATCATCAGGCCGTGCTGTTCCGGCCTTACAACTAAATGTCACAACAAAGATACCCCGTATGATGCACCTGAATCCTTGCCATCGCCCGGTCTTTTCCAAATACAGTAGTTTTACAAGTACAGAGTTTTCCTCATCTCATATCAAAACATGTGCTTCATTAAGCTTCTTAACTGAAATCGCTCGCTTGCAGGTTCCTCGTCATGGATGGCAGCTTCACAACTAAGCCGTCTAGCTCCTTGGTCATCTTAACTTGGCAGCCCAGTCGACTCGTCTCGGTGAGTCCAAAGGCCAGGTCCAGCATATCGTTTTCGTCATCCTCGGGCTCGGGCATCTTGTCGAAATATGCGTCGTCAGCAACGATAACATGGCATGTCGAGCAGGCGCAAGATCCTCCGCACGCGCCCTCCATCTCTAGATCGTTTGCTTGGGCGATATCGAGAAGGTTATCCCCCTCAGAAACAGCAAACTTGTTCTCTGTGCCGTCCTTCTCGATGAACGTGACATAAAGTCTAAGTAATGTCAATCAAATGCTTTCCAGCTGGGATTTAGGTTCAACATACTCCTCACCGGGCTTCGGGGGGTCAATGTGCCCATGGCGCCGTTGTGTCGTGGTAGTGAATGCTCTATGGGAAACAGGCGAGAAGCGAGTAAATCGAGAGATTGTAGAGGATCGACCTTTGGACGTCTGAGACACTACATTCTGACCAAGTCGTATTGGCTGTATTGTTCGTGGTGCCGTAGCCGGAAGCTTGGCCAAGCAAGTCGCAAAGGATCGTGACGCAGACATGGTTTCGGCGAATTCGGGATATTGGCGGGGTTCTCGTCGAAAATTAATGGAGGAATTGAGGGTCGCAAACGTTATATATTCAATGACAAACTGCACAGTCCTTAAGTTGAAGAAAGAAAGTATTGAGAGGCTCTAGATGCGCCAATTTCGGTCAATGGACGCTTATGCCCCCGTCTCGTCCTCTCACGTCCAAGATGATATTAAGCAAGCCCGAAAAAAGTGAGTAGCTTCGGGTAACGGATCAGCAAAACAGCGCTTTCGGCCGGGAAATTCATTGGCCGGAGTCCGACGTCTAACTCCGGGTGGCCGGGGTGGGGCCATGGGCAGGCATGATTTCATTTTCTCTGGTGGGAATCGGGTAACGTTGGAGCTCTCAACTGTCGCATTTTCTCTATAATTATTTCTTATAGAGGTGTATGTCGTCGTGTTGTCTCGACCAACCATGTCGACTCACAGAGAAGGCGTCAATCCCTTGAGGCCGTACTACATCCCTCCCACAATTGGAGAAGCCGCCGAGACAGTCAATAAGTCGAGCCCTAGCCCAAACCCATTCCCCGATGGACGACATGTGACTGCAGCTGGTGAAAGATATGCCTCCAAAGCACGCGATATCCTGTCCGACCTCGAATACAATGATTATTTAGGCGATACCTCCCCGTCTATGGTCCAGAATGTCAAGGACCTTATCGATGAGCTGCTATGGAAGTACACCTCAGTACTCATGGCCCAACCTTTCGAGGTAGCAAAGACGTTGCTTCAGGTCCGGAACCAGGATGAAAATGCTGCATACGAAACTCCTGTTGAGCCGGAGACGCCTAAGAGACAGCCCTCTTTTCACGGAAGCTCTATGTACGGTGGTGTAAGTGAATTTCGAGCTTGGTGGGAGGTACACCGCTAAATCATGACGCATAGTTCGGAGACTCAGATTCTGAAGGCGAGGAACCTGCCTATTTCACATCTCACATACCATCGACTCCCAGTCCCTCGACTCCTAGAGGCTCACACGGTCGAAGAGCTCCCTCTCCTGTGAAGAAACCGAATGTTCCGGAACATTACCTCACACTTCGCCGACCAGACTCGATTCTTGAAGTGATTGGGCAGCTATGGGGGAAAGAAGGTGCTTGGGGTGTATGGAAGGGATCGAATGCGACATTTCTCTACACAGTGTTGCAGTCGCTGCTGGAAAACTGGGGTAGAAGCTTTCTCAGTGCGATCTTCAATGTCCCGGACATGGGCGTTAGAGAAGACATCGATCGCATGATCGATATCGCCTCGCCGTATCCTTGGGCGTCGCTCTTTGTCGCCGCGGCTGCTGCTGTGGCTACAGGACTCGCTCTATCGCCATTAGACTTGGTGCGAACTAGGTATGATCTATCGCATCTTGATTGCAAAAGCAAAACTAACGTTGGCCAGACTTATCGTCACTCCGAGCTCAAACGGCCAGCGCAGGACGCTAGCCACCCTCAGAAACCTCCCCTCATACCTGTGTTCGTCGATGCTAGTACTACCAACTGTCCTCAACTCCTTGATCCACCCTCTTATCACTCTCTCAACACCCCTGGTTCTCCGAACTCAGTTCATGATCGACAGCCATGCCTCGCCAATGACCTTTTCTATCGCCAAATTTGTCGCCTCGTCATCTGCGATCCTGCTCAAGCTTCCTATTGAGACTGTCCTTCGACGTGGTCAGGTCTCAGTTCTGTCAAGCCACGAATATGTGCAAGCACTTAGCGGCCCTGAACAACAATTCACAACTATTGTCCCCCCAGGGCGTTATGAAGGCACCTTTGGTACCATGTTCCATATCGTGAACGAAGAGGGAACTCATGAGGTCACCAGCACGAAACCAGCCGCAGCAAAGAAAGGCAAGGCTAAGACTAAGGGTGTTGCCGCCACAGTCTACAAGGGCCAGGGTCGTGAGGGACTCTGGAGAGGCTGGAAGGTCAACTGGTGGGGACTAGTTGGTCTCTGGACTGCCAGTGTGGTTGGCCATGGTGGAGAAGGCGAGTTCTAAGACGGCACAATGATGAATGTTTGTGGTGTATGCACTAAGGTGCATTTTCCTGGCATGGCGTTGCGGTTAGGATGTATCTCTCCCCTACGAGCTTGACGAAGAGACGGCATGATATCCACCTCCATCTTTCTAAAAATGGTGTAAAATGACAAAAGGGGTTGTTTTCTAGTAGTCCACACATATTTATATCCAAACGACAGATCACAACTCTTGAACATCTTACGAATTCCTGTTTACTTGACAATCAAGTGAGATTTCGGCCTGAGAGATTTCTTTTGCTTAGCAAGCTAGGTATTGAGCCTGCCCTTAATTTCAGTCTTTCTCGACTGGCTGATCCGATGCCCTCATAGTTGTCATCCAGCCTTCGGCATCCCGGAACTCTAATTCAGCCGTCTCAACTCCAAGTGGCGTACGGGTTGCTGCAGGTCATTGACCAACGCTTCTCCAATGAGTACGCACAGTCGGAATACCCCATGTTGAAACAACGGCTGCAAGCCCCCGTCACGTTCTGTTCCGTCTGCATGCAGGTAGAAACAGCACCCTATTCGTCTAGAGATCAAGTTGGCGCTTTGGTTCAGCCTCCCCCCCCCCTGATTCAAGCAGTCATTATACGGCATTTACCTCTGACTCTGGTTTCTGGTCTGATGTATCTCCTACTGTGGCTGTTTCTTGGCCCTGCGGAAATCTTGTCTGGGAATGTTGTACAGATCAGGGGATAAAGGTTGACAGCCGAAGGGGAGACCAATCATGATACAGCCGATACATCCTTCGGGTGTTGATTCGCCAAGAAACAGGATAACTACATCGGAGGAAAACTCCTATGTGCCTTTAATCAAGGTAAGGTTATCGTTGGCGTGGAGGAGATGCAGGAGAGTTTCAAACGCAGATATTCATATGAAATTTGGTTGTCCCAGCTTCAGGTATAAAGTCTGAGTGATCTCCCAAGGTTAGGGGAAATGAGAACCGCAGAGCATTTCCTTCATCCTGTTCCAACACTCATTCTTTGACTACACACTCATTGATATTTCTCGACCTCTGCCTTAATCTTCACCATGGGCCTCCCCTTCAAGATGACTCGTTTCAAGGCCGCTTGCTGGCTTGCCCTTCTTCTTCCTGCCATCGTTGTTTCTGCCCATGGTCATGTTGATGAGATCATCATCAACGGTGTGTCTTATCAAGGCTATGGCAGCACTGACTTTCCCTACATGGAGAACCCTCCTGTCGTTGCTGGCTGGACCATCTCGCAGCGAGACAATGGTTTCGTTTCCCCTGAAGCCTATGGCGATCCTGATATCATCTGCCACCGCGATGCCACTCCAGCCGAGGGCCACATCGAAGTCACGGCAGGCGACGTCATCACCCTCCGATGGTCAGGCTGGCCTGAAAACCACATTGGCCCTGTCTTGAACTACCTTGCCAATTGCAAGGGCCCCTGTGAGCGAGTCGACAAGACTGAACTTGAGTTCTTCAAGATTGATGGCCTGGGTCAACTTGAGCAGGGCACTCCAGGCAGGTATGCAGACAGTGTTCTTCAAGAGAATGGAGACAGGTGGAATGTCCGAATTCCAGAGAACATTGCGCCTGGGAACTACGTTCTCCGACACGAAATCATTGCTCTGCACAATGCTCTTGAGCGAGGTGGTGCCCAAAACTATCCACAATGTTTCAACCTCAGAATCACAGGCGATGGTTCCGACTCTCCATCTGGGTACCTCGGTACTGAGCTTTACGGCATCGAAGATCCTGGAATACTTGTCAATGTTTACTCTAGCTCTGTTGACTATGAAGTCCCTGGCCCAACCATTGTCGAAGGAGGGACATCATCTGTTGAGCAGAGCCCCTCCAGAGCTACAACGACTGCAAAGTGTACCACTAGGTACTAGGCTGATTAATTTTGGCAGGGCTGGTTTCTGATATCTTGAGACTGGCGTTGTTCGGTGCTTTTTTCTTCTTTAGGGCGATACTTTTTTTTATTGGGCTCAAGGCGATGACATGCATTTTGTTCTCGCCCCATAGCTCACTCATCACGCGAGCTGGCAGAGCCATGTGAGCTCTGCCAGAGTTCGCTCAGTCTGCACCAGATAATGGCTTAAATCCAATATGCACTGATTGATAATAAAAGTCCAAAATAAGCTTTGTTTTTATATCAATGAACGTGTGACCTGCTACACCAATCGGAGGCCATCATCATTGGTCATCACCAGCGGCTGGTATACCATGCTTGCCGTGAGAGATCCCTGTGACCTGTATTGTCTGTTGCTGCAGTTTTTTACCACTGAACCATGTTTTCTCTCTTTAAGTTATATGTGTCTAATACAATGCATCCATTGACAGTCATCGATTGAAAGAAGAGAACTTAGCTCATGATCAAGCTGAAGGGCCAGTCTGATGATTGCTATACCGAAGCTACTGGCAAAGTGATCTAAATAAGCTACAGCACAACCCATTATCAGGACCCAGGGCAGACCTCCGAGGACATACACCTACAGGTACAATGAATGACTCAATTGTTTCGTTTCGTTTTGGCCGGCTGAGCGTCTACCATCCGCGGCCAAGTGGTTGTCTCAACTCCCAATAGCGCGTCCCTCAAAGGATCCTCCCCACCTGTATAAGCGCCAGACCTTGAACCTGCGTCGCTTCGATCCTCGAGGTTTCGACACCACCGCCCTATAAAAGAGAGTCGTTTCTGGCCTCGCTTCCGAGGGCTTGGGTTGTGTCAGGGGAGAATAACTTAGAGGGGCACATCGACCACTTCTTGGGGCCTAGTCCACGCTATTTGTCGCGCCCGCGGTTAGGATGCCTTCGTGATTGGCGTCTCCAGGCGATCCGCGACCCATACTCTCAAGGCTGACTTGGTTGTTTCTTAGAACAGAACCAACAGCTCGAAAAATAGAGATGGTTCTGGTCTGTGATTCACGTAGGGAAGAACTAACAATGGGACTGGGCTGCCGGAATAGCTTGGTATGCGTCTTTCAGTTGCGTCTCTTGCTCCATTATCATTAAGAACTGCTGCACGGCGTCTGCACATGAGGCGCTTTGCTCTCATTACTACCAGCACTCTTTCTCTCTGGCATATCTCAACTCCAGCCTGTCGGTGATATCGTCCATCTTCCATGTAGATGTGCCATGGCTTTCACTCTCCAGCCTCACGAGGGACATCTCCTCAGGATCTTCCTTGTGCTGGTTTCCTTTCTGCTGGCTCCAGCAAGTCCAGCTGCCATTGAACCACATGTCAGAGTCTTTGCCAACAAAGAACCTGAAAGTCCTCGAAAGGCTCCTCCGTCCTTCTTGGACTTCCAATCACAACACCAAAGGCGAGATGGTTCATGCCCGGTATCCGGAGATCATTGGTGTGGCAACGACCTTCCTGGGGATTTCTGTTGTTCCTCGCAGGCTGATTGCAAGGTCCTTGCTGCGAACACAACCGCTTTATGCTGCCCAAAGAACTCAAAAGGAGAGTGCGAGATCATTTTGCCCATAACCTGCAACATCGAGAGACAGAACCCATCAACGAACCCAGAAGCTGAGGTCAAAACACTTGCACTAGATCGGAAACTAAAACGCTGTGGTGCCATGAATGGTGCCAGGAGATGCTGTCCTTTTGGATATAGTTGCAAAGACGATAAGGAATGCGTACTCGACAAAGACCAGGACGAAAGCTATGCCTTCTTGCTCCCGGTTCCTGAATATACATCGGCCATAACTTCTGCTCCAACATCCACAATTACATCCTCATCAACTTCTGATATCTTGTCGGTCGAAACATCAGAAGTACCTGACAGGGTTTTCCAACCGCCTTTTACCTCAGCTGATCCTACGAGTTCAACTACAGAATCAGCCACTCCAGATGATAAGGGAGAGGAGAAGAAGGGCAGCGGTATAAGCCCAACAGGAGCGGTGACTGCAGGCACTGTTGCTGGCGTCTGCTGTCTGGTTGGAGTAGGCATATTTATATGGATGAAATGGTTCAGAAAGAAGGGAGATCTGGCTCGTGGCCCTGATGACAAGTTCATTGTTACACCGACCACGGCCGGTTTCACACCCTCCTACCCACCGCTTGCTCCAATTGTAGAGGAGAACCAAAGCCCCGTTGAGCTTCCCGCAACACCTGTATCGCTCTGTATGTGGTCGAACTTCGAAAATGCTGCCGTTGAGGAGCCAAAGTTGGCTTATGTCGTTCCAGCCAAACGGCAATGACTGATTGGAACAGGGAAAGCAAAAGCAAAAACAAACATTATGATGAACATGACATGCAAAACGATGAACGGTCTACCTTTCTTGTACATAAATTACATATTTTTTCACGATACGTCTGCTTCTTTTCTTTCTTCCTATCTAGCTACTACTATTCCTGATTTGTGATTTTGGAAGTGGATTGTCGGTTTTGTTAGAAACTCGGGAACTTTCATTTACACGATTACAAATATCATGCGGATGTCTCTGTGGTTGTATCTTGTGATTTCTAGCATCTTCTATATATAGCAAATTACTTTGTACATACCAACATTCTAAAAAGCCACGACAACCTCAGGCACGGTAAGACTAGGTACCTATGATGCAGGAACAATGTACAGTGCATATTATGAGGCTGCACTGTCTTATTGTTTTAGAATCCACTAACGCAAAGATGCAATGTTGTATCAATTTCAGCAAAAAGCTGTTCCAACACGACCACATCTCCTTGTCGCAATTGTATCTTCCTCTGCCAATTTTCTCGCCTCCTCAAGTGGCGATTCCAAATTATATATTTCTGCCAACTGCATCATTTCAAACACCATTCAAACCCGCTATCGCATCAATTTTCTCTGTCGCATCTCCACGCCCATAGAGCTAGGCCATGGCTTACCTTTCGATCGGCACCAATATTCTACCACTACTTTCCTGATCACGGGTCCGAGGCTAAGACACTTCGAGCTGCGCTGCGACTTCGAATTTCTAGGCGGAGGTTAATCCGGCCTCCAATACAGCATGACGTCTCAACATCCTGACTTCGACGAGTTCTACGACGATCAAGTGGCAGCTCATCGACAGCTCTTTCCACAACAGAATCTTTGGGATCGCATCACTCAGCCGAGTGTCCTAATCTCTTGCCTCATTGTTGTCGTCACTATTACATACAACTTATATGCTTCAACCACTACCTTTCAAGAATCAATACGCCTTTTAGGAACTAGTCTCTGGGACGGCCTTGTATTCATTGTCCCTGAGAGCCTCCTGAATGCCTTGGATACACCCGACAATTCCACCACAACCGCAACCTCCGAGTCGATGCGTCTCGCCGAACGAAGCCACCATGCTGTCAAAAGCGACAAGATGCGGAGGGTCTTGGGGCTGACTCACCCCGGCGGCGTCATGTCCTCAGTCTTTGAAGTTAGAAACCGCGCCCTCTCCATGACCGGCAGCGTTTTGGGCTTGAAGACCGAATCCGATCGTCCACCAGGTCTTGGCAATATGGACAACTCATGCTACCAGAATAGCATACTCCAAGGACTTTCATCACTCAAACCTCTACCTGAATACCTCTCCACCTATCTCGAAGCATCGAATAAGAGTGGCGATCAAGACGTTGCGCAAACATTACGGGCTCTGATCGCCGACCTGAACGACGTTTCGAATTATGGGCGCACGTTATGGACTCCAAGTCTGCTCAAGTCTATGAGCACATGGACTCAACAGGATGCTCAGGAATACTACTCCAAACTGTTAGATGATATCGATAAGAGCGTCGCAAAAGCTATCAAAAACGCACGGCATCAACATCCTGGTCTGGCCGTTAAGATCGATAAAGACGACGCTGCTGCAAGTGAGCATAGCGACGACAGTGGCTATCAAAGCATAATATCTTCACCCGAGCTTAAGTCGAGCCACAATCCGTTGGAGGGCATGCTCGCACAGAGAGTGGCCTGTGTTCGTTGTGGATATTCCGAGGGGTTATCCATGATACCTTTCACATGCTTGACACTGAGTCTTGGTTTGAACAAGAATCAGCATGACCTGTATGAAAGGCTGGATGCTTACAGCAAAGTGGAAGCGATCGAAAACGTCGAGTGTGCCAAGTGTACACTTCTCAAGCATGAGGACCTTTTATCTAAGTTGATAGACAGGATGCGAAACGACGAGAAACCAGACGAGCACCTCCAAAAAGCTCTGTGCCGACTTGAGGCAGTGAAGCTAGCTTTGGAAGAAGATGATTTTGAGGAAAAAACTCTGATGGAAAAGTGCAGCATTCCGGCTAATAACAAAGTCAGCTCTACGAAGACCAAGCAGATTGTTATTTCTCGGGCGCCAAAAAGCCTGGCAGTCCATATGCAACGATCGGTGTTTGATCCTTCCACTTTCAACATGATGAAGAACTCGGCTCCAGTCAACTTTCCCATGACACTGGATCTTGGCCCGTGGTGTTTGGGCAGTGCCTCCAATTCCTCGACCCAAGCATCGAGTGCAGAGGAGAAATGGGATGGGGACCCTCGAGAATCAATGATAGCTGGCGACCAAGGCTCATCCAAATTTACGGGCCCTATCTATGAGCTTCGAGCAGTGGTTACACACTATGGGCGGCACGAGAACGGGCACTACATATGTTATCGCAAATATCCACGACATAGCCCGCCTACCAAAGCAGTTGACGATGAGGAACCTGATAGCATGATGGATATTCAGCCTAAGCTCGAACGAAAGAATCATGAGAACGACCTCGACGAACCTGAGATGGACTGGTGGAGGCTGAGCGATCACAACGTCTCAAAGGTTAGCGAAGATGTAGTGCTTACCCTTTCTCCCGGTGTCTTTATGCTCTTTTACGACTGTGTGGACTCTACGATGGCTATGAATGATCAAGACGAAAGAATGCAAGATGCCAATGAGGTTGCAGATCTTGGTGCCGCAACCGGGCTGGCCAGTGCAACGGACAACACGGCTCAAATAGCCCAGGGGCACGAAACTCAAAAGTCCAATGGCAAGCCAAAGGAGGCATCGAATTTGGGAGAAGACGCCACGTCATACGTCGCAAATGATCAGGCTGCCATTGAAACGACAACGCGCGGCTCTAATCTGATCACCAATACAGCTTCATTGGTTCATGTTACGCCATAATGCATTGCAAAGCTGAAGGATGGAATTTGGAAAGGAAGAGGCGATGCATGAGTAGACAGGCTTCAAGCCTCGGCGGGCAACAAGCGAAGAGCAGGCACGCGTGGTGTCATTTATGGGGTTTTATTCAAAAGCATAGCGATGGCGTTAAAGAACCAGATAACAATGGCTGGCATACCTGTTTACTGTAATAAGGGTCTGGGATAGAGAGATCAAGCGGTTCAAAGTGCATGTTGTATTGCAGTTAGTTGGGTTATCTAAGGGTTGAGACCAATGGTGGTACTTTGTGCACGGGATTATAATGCATAGACAGGTTTCTCGGCGCAGCAAACCGATCGTTGTCACAAGCCAGCCAGAATTGAATTGTTAACCGAAATTGTTGTTTCTCGCTTGGATGAATGGGTTAATATGTTTCAGTGAGGGAAAGGCCAAAAAAAAAAAGTTATAAATATGGTGCCGGCACTGAAGGGCCGAGAATAGAGAGTCGAGAAGCGGTTTGGCCCACTCCAGTGGGAACGGACCCGACGGAGTGCCGAAACAATAACGGCAGGACGCCGAGGGGAAAATGCGTAGTGGTATTTTATAGTGTCAGTTGGTTGATCAACCTCCTGAAGAAGCGGGATAAACTTCACTCCGCGGTTAAATCGGCAACTAGTACGGAGGGCATAGGCGTCTAAGTTGATGGTGAGTTTCTGAATATCTGCTAAATGTGTCATGTTGAGGAAAATACTAGCCAGAGACAATATGAGATGTCATTGATATGCAGGTCCCTTGGCATAATTCCTCAGATGCAATGAACATCGCAATTCTGGAGGAATTTAACATCCCGTATAACTGTTAGTGGCCCCATCAGATTAGAGCCAGTTCAACTTTCGAGGACCTGGTCTGTGAGGTGCTACGTACTCGGCCAAGACCGATCAAAGGGAGAATTGACAGCTGCCATGTGCTTTCTGTTCATCCTGCTCTCACAGGCCCACAGTCCAGAGGACCAAACGAGTTAGGTGGTTACAGATGAAATCTAGACCAAGGAGGGTCTCCTCGTATAAACAGCTCGCAATTATGCCAAGCTTCCTGTACCAACCAGGGGACGACGCTTAGCTGTGTCAATGCATCAGCCTGATTGGTCAATCCGTAAACAGAAACCCCCGGGACAGGGTCTCTGACATCCATGCCCCCAGGTGGTGATCAGCATGGGCTTGCCTTGCCGTCTAGCCAGCTGCTTTTGCCTTGTGGGACGATTTGCCCTGCGCCTCTTTGCACTGGAAAAGCTTCGTTTGTGATGATAGGTTTGAGCGTAACTTGCTTGGCAGGTACGAGGAGTAAGACGAACGACGGGGAGTTCTTTCACGAGGGTCTGTTGACGTATTAGTCCCGCTCTTTGACCCAGTTGTTGGCTGGAGCTCGGCGTCTTTGTCTGAAGAGCAGGGCGTTGAGTCGTAGGATTTGTTCGTTTGGGAGCCGATGTTGGGTTGTCTATGTCAGAGATCGGCAACACTGAGCCGATGTCTGGCTAGGGACAGGCCTATTTCGAGGCTGAGCGCGATGAGAAAACGTATATCCTTGACTGCGATTGTATCCGTATCGTGTTTTGTTATTAATAAGTACGATGAACCCACGTGTGTGGTGCTTCGTCCAAATTTGAAGGCTACCCATCTCCTACTTTTGTCTCTGCTTCCGTTTCTTTCATTTTTTGCAATAATTCTGAAAAGCAAATAATTCAGGGAACAAAGAGCGACGTATATGAAGCTTCCTGCTTTCATACACAGATCGATCACATCACTAATAAAGGCAGTCGCAACTAACAAGCTCTCATCAGATCTGCTTCCGCTTGCACCAACAGGAAAGGAAGTTGCTCGACCAGCCACTTTCCCAAACCGTGCTATTCGACTTGTGTTGTGAGACCTCCTCATCATCGAACTCTCTCTCCCGTCTCTTTCCAGCCTCTTAAGACACCGAATTTCTTTTTCTTTACTTTCGGTATCTTTTCTTCTCCTCCCTCTTTTTGGACTTCCAAACTCTTTTTCGCCCTGCTCTCCCTTGGATAATACGTCACTCGAAGACGAGAGTTTGGGTCTAGCTCCAGGTGGCTTTGCACTATTTACGCGCTG